AATCAGTACTAATTTGGGTGATAGTTTTAGCATGATAGATGAGGAGTATAACATATCTAAAGCAAACTGTGAACTCAACAGCAGGTCTTCTTTGATTCTTTGAAGAATAAGTTGTTTTCACTTCCTGGACAGCTTAGACCTTGGTATTACTGCCTTTTTTTTTTTTTTTTTTTTTTTTTTAGCACAAAAATAGTATATATATTTTGGACAGGAATAAAAATCTGGAAGGACATTTAAGAACACTAATTTTTATTTATATGATGGGAGTTTTTGAAATTGATTCAGCAGTAGAAAATAACTCCATTTGCCCCTGCAAAGAAAATGTTTTTTTTTAAACATTTCCTATGTATGGTATATGAACACAGCTGTGAGAGCAAAGATGTGGCATAATTTCAGTAAATCAATCTGAAGTGATTCCAGTTTTATTTTTCTGTTCTTACACATTACTAAGAAGGATTGAAGACATAGGTAGAAAAGCTTAAGTGATAAAATCTGTTTGTAGCAATAGCTGCCACGTGAGCTACAATATACAGTCAGTGCTGACTTTATGTAAATCAGAGACTGAAGTGCTACTTTATTGATATATTGGCATAAGCTCTAGTTCACTGTGCCAAGCCATGCAGTCATTTTTCTAGAACCTCTGTCCTTTTTTTGGGGGTGGAAGCTGAAACATTTATGACTAGTCCTAATGGTGTCATCTCAAGAAGGGGTAGAATAAATTTCTGGGTCTGGGTCAGGCCTGTGCAGTGGGAAGAATTTAAGATGCCATTGTTTGTGCTGTTCTCCATAAGTCTAAAAAAAACCATGCATGTGTTTACGTAGAATTTGTTGTATTTGCTTTACTGATAACAATACTATTACACTGGCCAAAAATGGCAGGGCAGAAAAATACTTTAAAATACTGCTGATATGTCACTCCCACACTTCCTTTGATTCCTTTACTGCTGGACAATCCTAAACGCCAGGGATTCTGAGGAAAAGGGACAGGACAGTGTGGCATTTGTTTCCACTGTATTTCCATGTATTTTCTCAGTTCAGTAGTTATTGAATGAATACAGTACAAGCCTCAGGAATTTTGTGAAAGAAATGGTTTTGCAAATGACAAGGATAGAGATTTTTTTCTTGAAGGCTCATGTGACTTCTGTTGGGATTTTTGGTAGTTTGTATTTTAACTTCCTTCAAGATTAATCTGTAACGGTCCACTGAATTTTTCATGTCTCCCCCTAAAACAAAGTCATGATTCCCAGCTGGAAGTATTCCCTAACTAATCTCTTGTGGTAGCAGGGCTGTGTGCTCTTGCCTGGTTGCTCCCTGCTGTGTCCCACTCCAGTTGTGCTGGTGTCTGCTGCTGCGGAGAGCAGATGGAATGAGTCAGGAGGAAGCGTTTTGTGGTTTGCAGGGCTTGGTGCTTGGCTGTTGGTGGCTTGGCTGTTCTGGGCTCCTTTCTAAACCTACTTCTGCCTGGTGTTAGCTACCTGCATTTCATAACTGAAGGGTTTCTTTGCAGAGATGTGTTGAAGGAGACAGAAGACTGTTGCCATTTCTGGGGACAGTAGATGCCTGACTTGATTAGTCTGGCATCTACTGACTGATCTCGTGGGAGTGTTACATGCTGCATGTGGGTAAAAGTCAGCTACACGATAGGAGGGCTTGCAGCAGAGCAGGGATAGCTGTTGGACCAGGGTTAATTCCTTATAAAACTGAAATTGCCGTATGATCAAATATAACTTTAATTCATCAAGTGAACAGAAAAATTTGTGAATTTCCGCTATTCAGCATTGACTTAAAGGAAATGTTTTCCTATAGATCTTGCTCAAGCATTCCCAAAGTCATCCCTAGGCATAGTTGAGCAGAGCTCCAGGGATTTGACTGCAGTTTGATAGTCTCTGAGAACATGGGAAAATCTTACATGACAGGAGAATCCACTGCAATGCTAAAGAATTTCAGATCTGCCCAGGCTGCTCAATTCCTAGCAAAATAATGATGTAGTGACATAAATTGGAAGATTACCTCATGCCCTGGAGCCTCTTTTATGATTCTCACTGGCTGGGAATTAGACTGTGCTCTGGGCTTTATTACAGGGAGGCTGTGGCTCCCTAGCACTGCCTCAGAAGGTAAATCCTTCCTGAGTTGCACAAATGCAACTGTGATATAAATCTCCCTCCTTCCCATGTCTTTCCCCATCTGCATTACAATTTTACCTAGCTCAGGCCTGATTTTAGATCTCCCAGGCTTGGGAGCAGGAAAGAAACCTTGCCATAAGATTTCTGGTTTTTTGCATGCCACTTGTTCTCAAAACAGGTGGAGGCAAGCAGGCACTGCCCTGGTGAGAAAGCTTTGAAGTGCCTGCCCTGTTAAGGTTGCTTTGCAAGCTGGTGGATGCTGCACAGGACTACCACAGTGGTTCCCTTTGTCACTTTGCCCTTGCAGGGTGTGGGTACCAGTGTGTTTGTGTACCAGCAGGGTAAAGATGGAAACAGAAACCCCATGGTGTGGGCTCTGGTACAAATACCAGATTTGTGTCTCCTGGTGTAATGAAGTCACTCCTGTAGCCATTGCTGTAATTAGCTGTGTGGATTAGATTAAAGCTAGCATAGCAGAACAACCATGGGCATATCCACTCAGACATCTGGTAAATGGTTTCTATTCCTTGTTAATAACCAATTATCATCAATGACAAAGGTTAATTTTTTTTCCTCTGGTGTTATGGGTTGTGGTTGCACAGACCCCAGCTTTAGCACATCTTTATTTCAGAGAGGGAAAGAAACGAGAGAAGGGTTAGGGTTTTAGTGTATAACTGAGAGAAATTTCAGAAGCTAACTTTGTACCATCTCTGTTGCTATTTACCATGCATCTTGCTCCCTTTACAGTGAAATACAATGCCCTAAGAAAAATTCTTCCTACTTAGCAGTAACTCACTCTGTCCTAGTTAGGAAGACAGAAGTTTCCTTTAGCTAAAATTGTATTTCTTAGTGCAACTGTTTGAACATGGGGTTATTTGGGTAGATGTTGGGAATAAATGTATCAGTGCATCTAGAGGTGTTTACATTGCAGATCAGGTACTCTGCAGGACTTCATAATGCCTCTCCTGCGTGCCAAGCAAGCTTGGCCAAGTGTGAGGGCTCCCTGCCACTGTGAATTGGGGCAGTTTGTCTGCTCCACTGGCTGCTGAGAAAAGTATTTTGCCATACACTCCTGTGTGGAAAACCTCAAAGGCCAGTGGGGTTGCTCAGAGTTAATGACTGCATGAGATGCTTCTCAAGAGGAGAGAGAGATGATAAAAAAAAAGCAGGTTTAACAGCAACATAAATATGTTGTGGAAAGAACTGTGTTCTTTAGGCCCAGTACTGCCCATGCCTGTTAAGGTTTTGAGTACCAGAATGAAGTATTGGAGTGTGCTACCCACAGACTTAGTTTGTGGGATGTGAGTCATTTGGTTTAACCTAGTTTATAATTTGGATAGATGGTACATACTGGATAGCATTTTTCTTCTAGTGCTCTGGAAGCAGTCAGGACAACCTGTATTCAGTTCATTGAGATTCCTTCTGTTTGCCATTGTCAAAGGAAAGATTTCATTGACTTCTGAAACTAACATTTATTGAAGTTCAGGGGACAAGTGATTGCTGTATCTTGGAAGCAATGCCTTTAGGTCCAGGATCAAGAAGGACATTAATAAATAAATAAATAAATAGATTTTTTTTTCTTGCTCTATGAAACAGTTGAGTAAAAGATTGGTGTAAACCCGTGGCTTTTTAGGAGATACAAAAAGATCTAACCGAATAGAATCAGCAGAACAAATATGAGTCAGCAGTGTGCCTTGGCAGCCAAAAGGGGGAACCATGGACTAGAGGGTGCATCAAGCCCACATCACCAGCCAGCAATAGAGGTGATTATCCCACTGCATTCAGCCTTGGTGCTGCCTCACCTCAAGTACTCTGTGCACTTCTGGGCCCCCCAGTTTTAGAAGGTCCTTCAGTGCATCTGGAGGAGGGCAACAAAACTGGCGGCAGGGCTCAAAGGCATGTCCTGTGAGGAGCAGCTAAAGGCTTTGGTTCCTCTAGTCTGGCTGAGGGGCACTCCCATTGCTATCTTCAGCTTTCTGAGGAGGCCAGGTGGAGATAGAGGTGGGATCTCTTCTGCCTGGTATCCAGGGGTACAAGGTGTGGAGGTGTGGGAATGCTTGAGAGCTGCAGCAGGGGAACTTCAGACTGGACAGTAGGAAGCATTTCTTTACTGGGAGGGTGGCCCACCACTGCAGTAGGTTTCCTAGAGATGTGATTGATGTCTGAAACCTGTCAGTGTTTAGGAGGATTTTGGACAATGCTGCTAATAACATGCTTTAACTTTTGGTGAGCCCTGAAGCGATCATGTCCCTTCCACCTGGAATGTGCTGTTCTATTCTGTTCTGTCCTGTTCTATAATTCATAATGTAATTAAGATAAGAACTGTGACACTAATGGCTTCATGATGTAATGATATCCAGGAGTTTAACAGGACATTTATTTGGATTTTAAAAATATTTGAAGCCACATTAGTTGAAATAGTTAAAGCAATAAGTTATATTAACCCAAATATATTGATATGTTAGTTACTTTTTACCATGGTGACATAATTCCGTGAGGTTAATTCTGGGTGCTCCTTTGATTAAGAGCGATAAATCCTGTGCGTGGTTTCAAAAATTTTAATCTTTATCTGGGCTGCAATGGAAAATAACAACTTGGGTGGCATAGAGGATTGAATGGATTGTAAAAGTGTTTCAGTCTCTGTGGATGTAAAGAAAAATGTTCAAACAGAGAACATGGACAACAGCCTCCACCAAACAGAGAAGTAATGTTGCTGTAGGTTGGTGTTCATACTTTTGCAGCTCTGCAAAAGGCATCTCACATCTTCCATCAACCATGGAAGGAGAACAGCACTGCTGTAATGTTGATGTTTTGGTAAGTGTGTGGTAGTTAATCTCACCGATTTCTGATGGTGTGATATTTCTTTTTTTCGTTCAGGTACCTTTGGGACTCTTGTTCTTCCAGCAGTAAGTATTTTTTTCCTTCCCTCCTTCCTCAGAAAATGTTGACTGCTTGTAGCTTACCACCTTTTGGTGTTGATGATATATTTTGCATGTGATCCCAGTTGTTTTCACAGTATCAGATGAGTGTATTTCCTGACCAATAAATCAAGGGTTTTTCAGATCAAATGCTCTGCAACTTCTTAGAAGTAATTATAGGACTCAGGAGCTGATTTCCAGCATCAACACAAACTATTATAGAACTTGAACACAAAAATTTAATTCATGTCTTTTTTTACTGCTTTATACCTGTATTTTAGATACACCATGAAGGCTAATTACAGCTGAAAAAATCATGTAAAGCAACAATTGAGAAATACAAAAATAAAATATATTTATATACAAGCTTTGTAAGGGCTTGGAAATGCATATTCAGTGAAAGTACATTAAAACCCAAAAACGTATCTTGAATTGTGTGTTGTGTATGAATCCTGAATTTATGATCCTGGATATTCATCTTGAAAACCTAATATAAAGAATTATGTATTTATATCAGGAAAAATGTTTTACCAAAGTCATCCATAAGTCTGGGTATCCCTTAATCTGGTGGGTTTAAGTTCTGATCTCAAATAAACTGTCTCTGATTAAATAGTTTGGAAGTATTTGATAGATGGATAATCAATGACAATGAGCAGCTCAACATTATGCAGATTACTAGGCTGAAATGCATCTGTATGAACTATACATTAGCAAATGTAGAAAATTCTGTTCATTAAAAAAAAAAAAATAACAAGTTCCTTAATATAATCTGTCCAGGCCTTAAAATGTTCAAGCACTAAAACTAGGCAGGGTATTTTCCTCCCTCTCTTGCTGCTATCTGAAGAGATGAAAACTGACTAATTTTAATGCAATATTTTCTATTCGTTTGTGTAGCCACAGTAGACTTAGATTTTGTCCAAAGTGTAATTTGCTAGCAGAAGGTGGGTAATGAGTTTCTGGATTCAGCCTCATCTTTTCCAGAGGAAACAGTAGCTGCTTTGTCTGAGGTACTCGTGATGGTGGTTGGTGTAGTCAGAAGTACGTGAGATGGCCTTTTTCTCTCTTGTGTTAGGACTGCCAAAATGGGGATAGTAATACCATTCATTTGGGATGTTTTGACTAAGATAAAATATTTTCACAGTAAGTTCCTACTACTTAGTGCTAAATACTGCCTTGCTCATGTTTGGGTTGAGAAACAACCCTTTAGAGAAGGAGTTGGTGGGGCTGGGGTAGTCACTATTACTGCAGCAATTGTGGGTATGTTGTATTAGTGCAGTTTCTGGTACCATAAATGTGTGAAACAGAAGGTGGGTTACATTGGACCTCATCTGTCCTAATACACTGCCATGGCAATGCAAACCTCATTGTCTCTGACCTTTACATCAAGAAAGGCAGTTGTGTCACCATGTTTTGGAAGGAAAGGTCTTTTGAAATATAACAGGTATAAAAATTTAGGGAGAAACCCATGCTGTCTATTGTTATTTGTGGTAGGAAAGGGATACAGGAAAATAGATGAAGTCTCTAAATGGTATTTATAGAAGATTTACATTTTTAAAGATGAAATTGAAGACAATACTTGCAGCAAAATAGTACTTTAAGAGTACAATTCATTGATGAAACAAAACAAGGTTATTTTCCCCATTTTGATTTTTAATTATTATAATGTTTCCTGGACTTCTTGTAGCAAATCCTATCTGACTTTTAGGGATTACAGCTTCTTTAAGAAATAGTAATATTCATAAATTAATGTTTGAGGTAACAATAAGGTAGTCTTTGATAGATGCAGTAGCTAAGGCTGTTCCTCTTATTTAAGATATTGCAGAATACTTGGCATGGAATTTGGAGGGTGTTGAAATATGTGAATCATATGTTCTTGGCAATGTGTGTACAAAAACCTGCAGCTGGAGAAAATGCAAAATTCTTTTCAGTGTGGAACTTTGCATCTAAAATTTAATTCTATAAATCCAGATTTTAAAGGGGGGATGTCTTCTTCCCATGTCATCACAGGCCTGCTTAAAGGTGAAAAAGAGCTTTTTTTATTTTTCCCCCTTGATTTTTTTTCCTGGCTTGTTTTAAAACCAGAAAGTTAATAGAGAGGGATGGAATTGTAGTTGATTCCTCTTTATAGGTAAACACACAGAGAAGGAAATGTATTCTCTACAGACATTTGCATCTACCTCATTTGTCACCCAGTGACATTTTCCTATGTTTGTGAATCCCTGTTGCCTCAGTGTGTGCTGTTAAAATGAGCTTTGACAGCAGTACAGCCTTTCTTTATAGCACTTGGTAGGATACTTTTGAAGTGCTGTGCCTGCTGAGTTAACAGCTGTAATTTTCATTACACTGCAAGAGGAGTGTTTCAGTTCCATATGTTATGCTGCAAAATGCAAGCCTGTCTTTAGTTGTCTTAACTTCAGAGGTTTTGCTCCAGATTTACAGTTCCAACTCCAAACAGAAGCATGTGACTCTTAAGCTTTTCAGCAGGGCTGCTTGTTGGAATGAGCTGTGTGCTGTGTTAAAGCCCTTCCCCTTCTTCAAAGAGCCATTCTGGCGGGACAGAAGCAGCATCTGGGCTGGGATGTCCCTGGGGTCGCTGGTTGTCTGTGAAGGCTCTGCTCAAGTAAAATTCCGGTGTGCTGCAGCATCTCTGCTTTAAGCCTTTCAACCCCTGTGACTGGGATTCCTCCCAGCTAACTTTAGGAAATGAAGTGATGCATCTGAATTATGAGCTCTAGATTGCCTCTGTGCACTGGAAAGACACAGAGAGAGAGAGAAGAAATCTGTGCATGATTACTCTGACCTTACGTGGTCTAAATTTCCTTGCCAGTGATATCTGTCTCTTCTGCCAGCACTGAAGGAGCCTTCAATGTCTATCCAAAAAAAGTTAACCATATAAATTTTATATTCCTTTATTTCTTAATATTTTTGGAAGAATAATTATTTTACTTTCTAAATGAGTCATGATACGTGCTGTAATTATTAATTATGAAAGTGAAATGAGACAAAATCAGTGAGGTTGCTATTGAAAAGCAGTACCTCACTTTATGAAAAACAAATTCTGTATTTGATTTTTCTACCCCATAGGACATAAAGCTAAAGACTGTAAAAAAACAAGTGCAAAGTTCTCTTACTGTCCTGCTCATCTTGCTTACACATACTTTCTTTAGATATTTTATTTTTGGAAAATTTCATAGCAAAAAGTGATGAAGAAAAATATTAGCCCATTATATCAAACCAAAGAAATTTCTAAATAACTTAAAAAAGAGAGCACAATCTATGCAAGTGTAAGACTGTGAATTGCATATGAATGCATAGATACTTCTATTCTTGAAAACCTGATTACTACTAAAAATTAGATGGAAATGTGTTGTTGTGCTTCTGATAAGACATTTTCTGGTAATTGTTGAAATAATACATTAAAGTAATGAATAAAATCCCCTTTCTGTTTTTGAAAATTTTCATAAGTTGACAAGTTCAAGTATATATTACTCCTTTATGTCGAATGTTTTGTAAATAATAGTGTCTTCAGGAATATTTTGGATACCTAACAGAGTGTCACTATTTCTTTTTAAGCTGCCTCTGAACAGTGCTTCTGGGAATTATGAATTACTGGTGGAGGGCCGTGCTGATGGCCGGCACATCTTCTCTAACCGTACCAGCCTGATGTACATGTCAAAGAGCACCTCTGTGTTCATCCAGACTGATAAATCCATGTATAAGCCAGGACAGGATGTGCTCTTCAGGATTGTCACTGTCTATCCTGATCTCAAACCTTACCAAGTGTCTCTGAATATATATATCCGAGTAAGTATCCACAGGAACGAGGTTAGATGTTAGATTGTGTCACGTGTTCTAAATTTGTGACAAATACAGGTGGTATGAATTGCTACCTAAATCTTGCCAGCAAGGCCACTCACGTTTAACATGCAGCTTGACTTTTCTCCTAGGACCCTCGGAAGAAATTGATTCAGCAGTGGTTGATGGAGGAAGGTGATTTGGGTGTGGTTTCCAAAAAATTTCAGTTATCAATGAACCCTCCACTAGGAGACTGGTCAATAGAGGTGGAAGTGAACGTGAGTATTAACATCGCCAAATAACAGAGAGATTTATTTCTTCTGCTAGATGTGTATAAAATTGCATTCATGTTGTTGAAATGAGTTATAAACATGGATCATGAGATGAGCAAATCCTTCCCTCTTGTCAAATATTGGGCAAGATACTGTGCAAACCTCACAAGATTTTCAATAGTACATGGTTTTGCAGGGAAGGATACAAAACCCCACATACATACTCTATCCTAAGGTCTGTGTTTTGATTCCAGGATAAAAATGGTATTAAAAAATTGAGGACTTGTAATATTAATGTAAAAGAAAGATATTATGGAGTAGAGATTTTTCCTTTTTAAGTTAAATACTCATACATTTATTTTGCAACCAAATACACGGAAATTTATTGTATCACACTGTGCAGCCAGTCAGTGTCCAAAAAGGGACGAGGAACCAAGACTATTTACAGATCTTTGTCTAGTTTTAGGCGTGTTTCAGCAACTCACAGTGAATGATGAGTTACTGAGGAAAAAAATAACTTTGTAAAATAGAAAGGATGACTAGTAATACCGGACGATTGCAAAACAAAACTGGAAGAGTCTGTGTTGCATGTTGCTATTGGTAGTAGCTCTCTGAGGCCAGTCCTTCAAGTTGTTTCACTCCTCATACACCATGGAACATGTTTCAAAAATAGCTGGAGGTTTAGCTGTTCAAAACTCTGTGTGTCAGGGTTATTCAGCCTGCTTTTTAATACCTATAATTTGGGAACTGCATTTCCTATTTGGCTTGCAGTGGCTCTTCAGAGACATTTGGCAAGTATAAACAGGACTGCTTAATGTTACATAATGAGGGAGATGATGGGTAGAAAGGAGAAAAATTCACATGATCATGTATTACTCAGGAGTAACATTTACCAGTACCAGTTATATGTTTGATAGATTTCTATAGGCTTAGGCATGTGAGGGTGGTGCTCAAGTGAGCGTCAGGACTGGATTTTTCAAACACGTTGTCATGTGGGTGTGGAGTTGTTGCTGTTGTCTGTGATGGGAAAAATGTATGAAGTTGTTCCTGCACTCCTCCCTGTGCTCTGCCACTCCTTCCCTTTCCCCTGCCTGCTGTTCAGTGGCCTCTCAGTCACGCTAAAGCAGCTGTAGAGCTGTAGTCAGGCTGAGATCTAAAGTGCAGTGGGGAAATGACCCAAACTGAAAAGCATCTGTGTGTTTTTCTTGCCCTGGACCAGACCAGATCACTGATCCAGCTGAGAAGCCATCCCCACTCACAGCTATTGTAGGTGCTTTTCTGCAGTTGGGCAAGTGGGGCTCAGACATGGAGACAAAGGCTGGTGGCAGTGGTGGGCTCCTTCAACAGCTCATATGCCAAGCAAAAAAGTGTCTGTGAAATGTGGCTTGGGCTTTTTGCAAAGGCTTGAGAAATGCTGAAATTAGAAGATAATTGATGGAGGGGTTGTGGCAGCTGTTTTCAGGATCTGAATGAGTGCCACTCCCTCCTGAAATAAAACCAAAGAGAAAAAAAACATTGTAAAGTTGAAAGAAAAATGCCTTGTAAATTCATCTGGGCTAATGAAACAGCTGTGAGACAAGTGAGGTGAAACCTTAGTAGAGTGTAGTTGATGGTATTCTAAATTTTAGCCATGCTACAGAAGTTTAATGATCTTGGAAAATATATGTCAGAGTCAGAATGTCTCACAAGTCATGAGTAACAAGGAGAAAGTAAATAGAGAATGTTTTGTTCCTGCCTCTTTCAACATATAGCTAAAGGGCATCAAGTAGAGGAGTTTAAGAGTGATTTCAAAATGACTGAAACATCATAACTGAATTGCAGAGCACAGCACTGGCAGTTATTGTGAATACTGAAAACTTGGGATTAAAAGGATCTGGACAAATTGTCTCCATTGAGAACTGATAGTAAAAAGGCCTTAGGTGTCAACTCAAGACACAGTGTCACTCCTGGCTACCCTGGTTGATGCAGTTCCCTAGGTGTTCTCTATTATTTCATGGTTGCCTTTTTGGACAATGCATTCTAACAACACAGATTGCTGGAGTAGCTGAATACAAAGGTACCAAACTTGTGTTTAAAGGAGATCAGGCTAAATGGTTCCTTTTGACATTTAAACTCTTTGAATTGAAAATTAAGATAGGGAAGAAAAAGAAGTGTGTATTGTACTTAACGAAAAATAAAAAGGTTTTAGACATTGGTGTCCAGAAAAAAATGGCTATTCTTACAGTGCTTGTCCTTTGGGAATAGAACAGCAACCCCAAGTCCCACACAGAAATACTTATGTTTACTTTCAGATCCTTTTTTGTTTACACCTGCTCCGCTTTAATTTTCAAATTCCACGTTGAATATAGTGACAAACCAATATGCATTATTTCTACAGCAGTGCCAGCATATCTTCATTGGATCAGGGTGTCATATGCAAGATGCATTAAGTGACTGCTGCAGTATTCACACTATTAGATTAGGTCTGCCTGGTGTATTGTCTCGCAGATTTATTTTTCTGAAAAGTGTGCCAACCACCAGATTATTGAAACCTGCAAGACACCTTGCAGAATAAAGGAAAAGAACTTTCCTAGTGGGAAACTCTGCTTTATTCTCTTGGTTGCAAGGGAGTTTATGCTGTGAAATACAAGATCATATGGGATGGGATTCAGTTGGAACATGGAGTTGTGTAGGGCTCTCCGTTGGTGATACTGTGGAGATTTAGTGGGTGTTCAGTGAAAGCTGCTGAGTGACTGGATGACTCCTAGTGGATATTCCTAGCTATTAGCTGGGTATTCCTTTCTCTTCTGCAGCAATTCTGCTGTTCAAGGGAGATGTAGGTTTATTGTGTCATATATAAAGTTGCATAGATCCACCAATCTCTTCCTGATAAGAAAGGCCACTGAGAACTTGGATTTACTGCTAAGGTAAGCTTAGCATATAACTGGGATTTTTAACAGATATGTTTTCCTCTCCTTAACTAGTACTGCCAGCTCTGGCTCTGCATGGCATCCAGCCAGCTTATGGATCTGTTGAGGCTTTAGGAACATCTTCATTTGGCAAACCCAGACTGCCCATATCTGCCCACCCATAGATGACTAAGTCATCTCTGCATGACTTAGCTATCCTGATGCCATGACCTGGGCTTTCTAGTTAAATAGCCAGCCTTTCTTTCTCAGTTTCCTCTTGTCTTTAAAGAATTGTCAAGTGATTAAATAATGTTTCCCTTCTCGTGATTACAGATCAGTTTCAAAGTGTACTGAGTCTTGATTTTTGGAAGTGCTTCCTCTGAATCCTGTTTTAAATCAGGTTTTGGCTGCTCGCTCCTGCTAAACATCCTGTAGTATTTTTAATAAAAGTTCAGGTGTTAGTACAGCTGTTCCAGGAAAACTCAAGACAGAGTAATTATGGTCTGGTTTCCAAGTCTCTACCTTGTATTTTAGTTGGATATCTTATATTTCCTGTTGCTGAAAGACTTCTAGTTGCTGAGTTTTTATAGCATGCACCTCTAACCAGAAGTCGTTTCTAGTTAAATGGCATTTTGTAATCTAATTTATGGAAGTTGTTATGTATAAATTTATGATCAAATATGGAAGAGTAGTAATGTTTCAGATGCAACAAAGGCTTTCCAAAATATTTTTAAGAGTATTACATTTTTTTAAAGCTTTAGCTATAAAGCAAACTTTCAGAATCAACTGGGAATGTTTATATACTATATATTACTATTCTGTAATGTTTTATGCTAGATTAATTATGGATTTCACATTTGATGCATTAAGTTTAATGTTGTATGTATAATTGCTTAAAAAATGTGTCACACGTCTTCAAAATCAGACTGTACATAAAGCCTTTGGCATTGCCTGAGTATTCAGTAGTTTGAAAATGTGCACAGATATTCAATCAGGATCTGCTAGTGTAAATAGTGGGACTCTGATTAGTTTTTGGAGATTGTGCTATTGAATTGAACAGAATTTCATTTTGGGGTTTGTTTCTTCCATGTGAAAACAAAGCATGGAAGTGATCATGAAGTGCTTCTGTTAGTTCTGTCTAGACAAAAATCTGTTTTATTGAGCTTCAGAGCCAAGGCGGAAGAATGTTCCTGACAGGGCCTGTGAGACAATGAGGTAGCCCCTGGAATGCAGCTGGTGCCAGAGCTGTGCTTTTCCAGGGCAAAGCCCTGGACCACTCCCAGAGTCTTTCCCTGTGATCTAACAGCAATGCATGTCAATGTCAGAAACAAATAAGAAAATGGACCCAGACGAGATTGATTGCAAGGACTTTCAGTTGCCAAAGAAGAAGAAAAAAAATCTGTGGGGAATGGCTCCTGTGGTCTCACTTTCATTGGATCAGACCCAATGAATTAAAACAGGAGAGTTCATCGCAGCTGAGCAGAATCTAGACTGCATTTAGGGATTCTTGGATGTCAGGATACACAGCATCTAAGGCTTCCCTGCAGAAAAGCTCATCCTCATCATCTCAGAACACTTCCATGGATCTCTTTTTGGCACAATTTTCTTACTCTGGGTGATTGGCACAGAATGCAGGAGGTGTTCTGCAGTTTAAGAAATGCTGATTTAAAGCAAAATGTTGTTAGTCCGGAAGGGTGAGTATAGTTAAGAAGCAGGAGAAGGCATGGAAAACAAAACCTGTACTAGAATGAAGCTGCTTTGGGAAAAATAGAATAGGCATGGTGTTGTTTTCCTATCTTAAAGAAAACCCCTAAAAATCTCTCTTGGGTTGTGCATATATAACTAACTGGCTAACTGCTTGTCTTGAAAGCTACTGTTCCTGGAAACTGGTTTAACAACTTCAGCTTCAGTATATTTGAACAATATTTGCCAGAGAGACAGCCTTGCCCTAATGAACTAAAATGATTGAGTGGTTGAGCTGTTGTTACTTGTTCTACTTCAGACCAGCTTGGCTAAAAAATTTGTAAGTGCAAAATCTTGGTATTGGTATTCATATCATGGCATGGTATTCATATCATCAAGATGACCAAGTAGGGTCTTTGCCTTTCCCTGAGCTATCAAGCATGGCTTGATTTCTGTCACAAAGCTTGTCATTTTAGAGAAAATGCAGCCAGGAGTACTAGTCTCACTCTACTACTTACAGTTACCTTAGTTTTTAATTGTACTTTAAAAAATTTTATTTTTACTTCTAAGATGATGGGAAACAATATTTCATATTCAAGGGAGATGCATTTTAACCGTGCTCTCTGGGGTAACATTTTGTTCAGGGTTTGCTTTATGACAAGGGTCATGTACATAGTTAGTATTGGAAGTAAAAGCTGTACAGAGAGCAAGAAGTGAGGTGAATTCACTGCAGGACATCTCCCTAAGATACATGTTCCTAAGACTACCTGGTGGTAATCTGATTGTGGACTTATTTATGCATGTCAGTGCTGTAGCATTTTGTCTTGCAAATACTATGATTTGCACAAATGTTGTGAAAATAGCTGATTCTGCATGTATATTTTCAATCCTAGGAATATAAAGATGGCAGTTATTTTGGTGATCAGTGACTTGATCATCAAATTGGCAGCAATCTGATTTTTACTTGGATAGGAGTATTTTGCTAGGAGATGTATAAATACAGATATGTAAAGGGCTTGGTCTGAGGTGCTTAACTTGCAAAGTTGTTGATCAGGTAACAAAAGTTTGTAATTGTTTCCATTTTAGGTCCTGGTCCTAAGGTTTTTACCATAGGAGTTTTCAGTTTATCCTCTCTTGCTACAAAGAGTCATTCCTATCTTACACATCTTGATGCCACCTGACAAATGGTTATCTGTATTCATTTTTCTTTTCCCTCCTGGAGGAAATGAGTGAAAAATTTAGAAAAATAGGAAAATAGAAGAGAACACAAGTAACAGCAAATTATGTAGTTCCTTGATTTCTTTCCTTGATTTTAAGTAACAAATAGCTGAAACAAGAAGATACAGCACAAGGGTATCTCTGCTGAAGTAAGTATGGCTGTAGACTGTAACAAAACTGCAGCCACCTTTTGAGTAAATGTGGAATCGTAAGATTATAGAAGGTTTAGAAATAGTCTCATCCACTAGATAGACTCTGTAGGAGCCTCTTGTTTGTAGAAGTTAATTAAAAATGTGCTAGCAAAGATGGTGCTGGTATGTCAGTCATGTTTTATCATGATGATTGTGACTACTTATGCTAGGTAGTTTTATTCTAGCTAGCTCAAATATTCAGTTTTTTAGTACAGAAATCAGGCATATATAGATAGATGTCTGCAGACTGGAAGCTGCACAAGCTGTTCATGATAAATACTTAGAATCTGCTTCACATGAACTTTTGTCTCCTTCTGTTCTGTAAATATGTACTACTGGTCTCTAGAGGAGCTGATAGTGATTGAGCCATGATTTAAAATCACACCATGTCAGAAATTGTAGTTTAACTTGCATATGGGTGGGATTTGGCCAAGAAGGTATGTTAAATTTACTAATCTAACCAAAATTGTATGTATTTTCTCATATGAATTTTTTTCAATAGGGTCAAGTTCATTATCAAAGATTTAAAGTGATGGAATATGGTAAGTGTTATTTAGTAGTGACCAAAATCAGTAGTGATTCTCCATTAATTTATACTGGCTTCCCTTGTCTGGCATGAACATTTTAAATACTCACAGAAAGTTAAATTTCCAAATCTTTGGCTTCTCTGAGACTTCTCTGAGACAGAAAATCAAATCTTATCAGCTGCCCTGTTTATCTTTGGTAGTTTTAATGATCCCACATTATCTGGTTGGGAAGCTTGCTGATGAATTCTGTAAAAGCTGAACAAGCTAAATGTTTTATATTTCAGACTTAGAAGCTTCTATGCAGGCTGTTTTTATGATGCTTTTTTTCTCCTTTCAACAAAAAGTCGTAGTCTGGCAATTGGCTTAAAAATACATCTTAACTTTTATTAGGAAACTTAGGAACTAGTAGTCTTTATCAAATTACATGTTCTACCCTTGTTACTTAGAAAGAGAAATATTCCTTCTGTGAATTTAATGCTTCTTGTAATTTTTTTTTTAGTTTTACCAAAATTTGATGTCCTGATAACAACACCCTTATACTACTCTTTGAGAGATGAAGATGTAACTGGTGTTGTCTCTGCAAAGTAAGTAAATCACTGATACTGTTGTCACCTTCACTCTTAGGAAACTTATTGTGGTTCTCTAAGTGTCAAAGTAAAAATTAGAATGCTAATAAAACCCCATCTTTTCAAAATTAGTTGGCTAGTATCTGTTTCTACTTGCTGGATTTTGTTGTAACAAGATTTAGTAGATTTTCAGACTTCTAGTAAGATCTTTTGGTCTGGTAAATATAGTTGTAGACTACAGCTATGCATTTTCACCTACCTTAGTTGAAAATTTTTTAAGTTTCTTGCTTGTAATATGTATTTTGATGCTTTTTTTGTTCTTATATTTCTTTTATGGTACTCTCCAATTTACCATGTTAAGGTCTGTAGGTACAGTGACTATATATTATCAGGCAAACTTCTGTGAACATCCTTCTTGTTCTAATAAATCAGCATTGCAGATTTCAAGCATAGGTTTTTCGAATCAAAATACCCATAGCTGTAAATAGGTAAAGAATGAAAAGTTCTTGAGAAATTCAGAAGAGGCTTCAGTGTAGACTCCTGTGTAAATAATATTTTATTTTCTGCTGAGCAAATATCTAGACAAAAAATTACTATGCATTGATCTCAGAAATTAATTTTATTTTTGAAGATGAGAGCCAGACAGAGCTACCTGATAGATCCATCCAAGAAGACTGAAATAAAGGGTCTTTTATGGGTTATTTAATGCCTTAAAATACATACCTTCTGAAGAAGCACTCAGTTTACAAATGGAATGCAGAAATCATTGCTTAGCAGGCTATTTAAATTAAATGTTTGGACTTTGAGAAAACACTTCTTTCTGTAGAGTCCATGCAACCTGATATTATAAACTATCAATGCCAGGTTGGATGGGGCCCTGAGCAACATGATTTAGTGGGTGGCATCCCTGTACATGGCAAGGGGGTTAGAACTATATGACCCTTAAGATCCCTTCCATCTCAAACCATTCTGTAATTCTGTGACTCTCCTAAGGGGCAATAAAAAAAAGTTTTCCTCATTTTTTTTCCCCCTGTTCTACTTTGCTTTTGGAATTCATTATATGCTAGCTAATATTTGATTTCTTAGGCTGTTTTGGTCTTCCCCAGGACACTTGTCCCTTTCATTTGGTATACTCATAAGGTGTTTGAAAGTGTACCTGTTTGCTGCAATAAATTCATACTTAGACACCAGTGAAGCATCTGAGGTTGAATCCCAGCAGTGACAAAGTTTTACTGATACATCGTAATTATTTATAGAGAATGACTTGATTCCTGATGACTGTTTTTTTAGAGACATAATGCTTCTTTATACAACCTGTAGATGTCATAAAGCCCATTTTCTTCTCTGGAGTATTATTAGATCAAGTTAAGTACAGGGATGCTGCTCAATGGCAGTATAATTTCAAGGTTAATGGCAGCTTATTACTGTAATTAATAATAAGGTCTGCTCAGACTGAGTTTAAATGCCAGACAGTGTTGAGTTGTTCCTGTAACTATGCTGTTTGATTTTTCTTTCTTTCTGCTTTTCAGCTTTGATATTACTTAAGTGGCTGCATAATGATTTAAAGTACTTTAAAGTTACCACAACTACATGTATTACTGCTAAGGACTGGAATGATTTTAGGTGTCCTGTCTGTCCTCATGTTGTTCCTCCCCTCCTTCGCTTCTCTGTCTCAATCTGATAATGTTGTGGTTTCTCTTAAGTATACCTTGGAAACATTTATACAAAATTTTGTTTTATTGCTGCTCAGTGGCTGCAGGTTGCTATTGTCATCCTAAGAAGGGAGTATGTTACTGTTTTCAGATTTGCCACAGCTGGACATTGTTTGCAATGATTTCTTGAGACTGTCATTACTAAATAAGTAGTAATAATTATTACCAAATATCTGGAGATATATCATTTTGTGTTGGCAATATTTGGTAAGCAAAATACTTACACTTCCCACATCCCATTTTAACTCTGATTATTAATATCTGTTCAATAACTTGCTTTCAGCTTTTAGCTTAGTATAGTTAACTTTTGCACATCATACAGCCCATAATAATTGTAATAGGTTTGTAGAGCTTGTGTAGTGGAAAGAGCAGCACTGTGTATCTTCTCCAGGTTTAAGGCTTCCAGCTTTGGTGTTGCTAAACTGGTGTCAGTATGGCAAACTCCATGTTTTGGAGTAGAAATGTGTTCTGCCCATGTCTGAGGCCAGAGAATAAGATTTTAGTAGCATCTTGTGCCTTGAGATCTCTTCAGGAGCCCAAGTCCTGGAGGGTGTTGTGTTGTTTGACTTTGCCTGATGTGTTTCAGGTACACATATGGAAAGCCAGTAAAGGGAACTGTAACAATCACTTGCCTTTCTGTTTCTTACTGGACAAACAAGAGAAATATAACAACAACAATGGAGGTGAGTAATCTCTTAGTAGCTTCTTTAAGTCTGTGTCCTGTTGTGGGTTAAATGATGCTTGGAATCATTCCTGAGTGCCAAGCTGGAGAGTATTAAACTCTTTAATTTTCAGCCTAAAAGCTTCTACATTGAGACTACTTGTTGGGAATGATACTTGGCACCTGTGCTCCATTTACTTGTGCCTGGAGGTTATTTTGGAGTGTACCAACTGACCCAGGTAGAAAGATTTTCCAGGGGCTCCATAGGTGCTTAAGGACCCATGCTCAGGAATGCTCCCTGGCCCTGTGTCTGCCCCTGCACACTGAGCTCTGTGTCACAAGGCTGGAGGAGAACACTTCAGTTGTCTGGGTGGAGCTCTAGCATGGTAGAAACCAAAGCATTTTGCCTACTAATTGCCAGCAATTACATTTGAGCTACTGCACTAATTGTAACCTGAAGCATAAAATTTAAAAAGACACACAATCTGAAGGCTTAAAACAGGTGATAGATTGGTTGCATTCTCTTTGCAAAATCAGACATTTTACTTTTAAGATGTGGACTGTTAAAAAAGGTTAAATTTTTGCTACATTAAGTGACTGTAATTTTATGTTTGCTCACTTCAGCCACTGTCTGACTTCAGTGCCTTCAGCAGCACTTAGTCTACAGAAACTCTTAAGTTCAGATGCTGAATAGGGTATACCCCTCTCCTCAGGGAGAAACTCGTTCATTGTATTTTCCTGTAAAGCTTAGGTACCACTGCACTAGCCATGTAGAAATGGATAATTCTAGAAATTAGGGGAAAAAAGGGTAACTTTTTCCCTAAAGCATTGTTGCCTCTAAAAAAGTAGTGAACTTCTACTGGATTTAATAAAAATGGTTGCTGACAGCAAAAAAATAAAGGGTCAGGGTTCATAATTTTCTGGTGTTCACACTCCAAAACTTGATTGTGGAGAGAGCTAGAGGAGAGCTAGACAGAAATAAGCTACAGTAGACAGAAAGGTGTCCTTTTCTGGCTTTTCTGGCTCAACAGTTATTTTTTCCTGCATTGCAGATAAATGGATCTGTGAATGTAACCTGTAACAAGCTGATGTTGCAAAACCTGAATGTTGAGCAGTCATGGCACCAAGGTGGCAGCGATTACACAGAGCCGATAGAAATGATCGCGGTGGTGACGGAGTCACTCACAGGTGTGTGGCTGTGGGAGCTCTCTGACAGAAATCCAGAGTGCCTTACTGCTCTGTGCAACAGGCTGGAGCTCTGGAGAAGTATCATGTGCTGATCTCAGCTCAAACCATCCACATTCAAATATATTATCTGAATGTTGCTCGCCTAGAAATTTAATAGTTTAACCAGCTGTTAACTCAGTAGAATAGAGTTCTGTGCTAAATGATTTATTAAGTAATCAGGAAACACATTCTGATAGGAGCCTAAAGTCAATGACTGATCATTTTTGATGAGAAGAACAGGCATAAAGAGATGCTAGCATTAGCCTGAATTTTACAAGCTTAATTTTATTCATAAACTTACCTGATGTTGTGTATTTGTAAGCCATTTTAGTAGAAAGAGTTCCCTGGTCCCACCTTGTCCGCAGTCTAGCCTCTTCTAGGTGGACTGATTTGCAAACTGAGGGTTTTTTGTGAGTTCATGTTCCACTGCACCTTGCACATTTAATAAAAAAAAAAAAAAATCACGTGTACAAAATGTATGCCTGTCCCAGAAACTGGGTTTCATTACAGACTTTCTGTAGAAACCCCAGCAAGGTGAAGCTGGCTGATTTGGGATTTATTAAGTTTCTTCCTTGTATCATTCTGGCATAGTCTGTGTGAGTGGAGCCCTGTGTGATATATCATATATTGCATTTTGGCAGGCAGTACCAGTGTATATGCCAGCTTTATACTGATGCTGAGCTAGAAGGATGAAGAATGATAGGAGTTCAAATGGTGAAAAATATGATAGAATTATTTCAAAGTCATGGGCAGTAAATTGTATTGCTACTAAAGTAATATATGTGTTAAATGCATGTTGTCTAAACACATATAATTATTCAACAGGAATCTCCCAAAATTCAAGTACCATCATATTTCCAAAGCAAAGTGACTATTTTATTGAATTTCTGGACTACACTAGAGTTATAAAACCTTCTCTGAACTTCATAGCTACTGTAAGTTCTTTTGTTTGATTATCATCTGTGGATAAACAAATGTGACTTCTCCTCTATGCTTAGATAGCAAAGTTTGCCTTGGATTTTTAAGTGTAATTTACAGATTTATTTTCAAATTCTCTCTTTTTTCACAATACATATCAGCAAATACTAAAATTGGAGGCATTTGCTCTAGAAAAAGGTAAGTGGCAGGGAATGCTGTAATCTTGGCAGGATATATTTGTGTATAGTTTATCAGCATTCTTATGGAAGAGGGATCTTCCCTAGCTGTTTTTTTGGGCTGTGCTTTGAAACAACAGATTAGTTATTAAGTTTCAAACCTCTTTATAGTATAGATTTGTATATCTAACTAAGTAACTATATATATATATATACATACACACAAATATATACTTAATATACTTTATATAGTGAATTTGTATATTTAAACAGCTTTTACTTAATTCAGTTAAAACTCATCAAACCACATTGCTTTCAAGCTAAAGTGTTGTTTCTGCCTTCTGTCCTGTCCTTTTCATGCCAGCTGCAGTCCACTCCTAGAAATATTTTATGTTCTTCATTCTGTCCCTCATCTGCATTCAGTATTTCCACATTTTGCAGGGGTTGCATATTGCATCACTGCATTTTGCTTGAAAAGGGGAGTGAATTTTACAATTCTTGAACCTTTACTATATAGAAATGCGACCTAAATAGCAGTGATTTAGGCTGAATATTCTCTTCCAGAGTGGATTGGCTCAAGACATAGCTTTATGCTAGCCTGATCATTTGGGCTTTTTGTTTTTGTGCTTTTCATTTTCTTTGCCAGCATCTCAGTTTGAATCCACCTGTTTTTTAGTCCTCTTCCAAAGATGAACTAAGTGAGAGATAGCTGAAGCATCTGGCAATTCTTGCAGCTGGCAGACAGGAAGGTTTCAGTTGTGCTGCCAAAGAAGTGTGAATGAACAGCTGCTGCTGTTACTAAAAAGTGGAGATCTTAGAGGAAGCATGAGCATATACTCTTCAGAGAGAGAACAGGGAAATAGTGGCTGAGGAGGAGTGGTAATGCAGTGACATCTATGGGCTGAAAAAGAAAAAGGAAACATTAGTTCAGTGCTTTTAAATATAAAAGTTGATTTTTCTGTCGTGTATAATGCAGAATGAGAATGATTTTACTGGATGAAAATCTGCTTGAATGTGGGCATGAAGGTTTTGAGTTGTAGTGCTGATTGATGTATGATGGAGTGAAGAAGTTGCACACTGTCAATTTTGGGCCTGGTTTCAGTCTTCAACTCATTTGATGAATTCATAAAAACATCCAACTCAGCACCATCTCTGTTCATGTGATTCATTTTCCCACATAATGTAAATGTTAGGTTGCCCTTTCTTGTGCTGGTGAAGTGCAAGTGATAAAATTAAGTATTCAGACTGTAGGTAGGATGTGTATAATTTACTTGAGACACAAACATTTTCAACTAGAAGAGTAATTGGGAGAGCAGAAATGCAAAATGTCTCCTTTCAGTTCCATCTACTTTGCTTTTACTCTTTTTTTATTCCCTGGAGTCATGAATAATTTTGTTCTTGCCTGACTTACCTACTTGCAGTGCTTACTAGGGAACAGAAATAAAGCTATTGATGTGTGAGAAACCTGAGGATGCATTTTTTTTAATGTGATGTGAGTGCAAATATATTGTTATATACTATGTGTTGAGCACTTTAGCTTTACTCTGTTTGATGTGTTTGATAAGTGTTTTGTTTCTTTTTGTTTAGCTAAAGGTGTCACGTTCTGATAGCAACCAGCTGACAGCTGAAGAGAGGCAGAATCTTGTAACAATCACTGCACAGGAGTCAGACCTGCTTTTCCATCACTCTTCACTTTCTCACCTGGAAAATGAGGCAACAGAGGAGAGAAATCTGACAGTCCATGTCCTGAACTACACAGTTCCAGAAAATGGAGTAATTGATGTTGAGTTTCCAATCCTGTCTGATACAAAAACTCTGAGAGTTCAGGTACTGCTTTGTAACATGTTGCTTTGGAGTGTTGACACACTAAATTGCCTGGGCTGGGATCAGTGATATGCTGTCCTGCTGTCTGCAACAGCTGACCTGCCACCTATTGTTATTTTTATTACTTCATGTTACAGCTGGAAAGAAAGTGAGAGATCCTCTCAAATGGGATTTAATAATTGCACTATGATATCAAAGGAAAAAACCCCAGATACCCAAAGCATAAAGTGGACTTTTGCTAAGGCTGCCATGCTACCACACTTACATACCATTTTTGTACCACAAAAATGAACACCACAGATTTTGCTGTTTTGTTAAGAGGGTTTTTTTGCACTGTCTTGCAGGCAGAGTTCCTCAGCAGTAAGACTGACATAGGTGTTTATGATGTGTTCAGCTCCCCCAGTCAGACTTATCTGCAGGTTAAAACAAAGAGCCAGGATATAAAGGTACAGTCTGAGACAAAACTTGCCACAATAAAGCCTAGTTACTTACGTTTTTTCCATACTCATCCATATGAATTGTGTGCTTTTCCTAGGCTGGGAAGCCTTTTGAGCTGAGCGTTGCAAGCAACAAGCCAGTGAGAGAGTATCACTATCTGGTAAGTTACAGGTTTTACAGATGGGGACAATCCAAGGTCACCTTTACCAACTTGAGAAATACTCCAGTGAGTGGAATGTGATTAAACATTTGAGATACGGCATTTTTTAATTGTGCTTTGTGGAAGAGAAGGCCCAAAAACTTCCTTTCCACTAGGAGGGTCCTTTTTGAAAGGGAACTGTATTATTCTACCTTGTGGAGGAATGCCCCTGGCACTGTAAGGAGTGCTTCTCTCACCTGGGTGTTGGGTTATCTCTGACAGCAGATGTGGGACAAGGCACAACTGTGAGAGCTATAGTTTCTAACTGTGCAGAGCATCTGCAATGGGAGAAGGGACAAGGACATCCCAGGAGCAGCCCAAGCTGTGGCTTTGTCAGCAGGTCCTGCAGATTGCAGGTGGAAGCAGGGGCCTGGTGGATCCTGTAGGTTCAGGAGTGTCAGGCTGAGCCTGTGGGTGCAGGGGTGGAAGAGCTGCCTGCTGAGGCAACAGGTGGTTGAGTGGACAGAGGAGCATTTTAACAAGTGAGATTCATAGGAAGCACTTTAAAATAAATGTCTTGAGTAGTGGCTTAATTGCTCAGCTGCTCTACTGTATCTTAAAGGATCAGGAAGATGTATTATGTATGCTATTGTAAGTTTCCCATCCTGTCTTTAACACATGGCTGTCTTTTTCACAGTCTGCATCTTAGTGACCATGGTAGCTAGGATTCTTTTTCTTTCACAGATTTTAACAGTAAACTGAATTAGGAAAACCATGTAAAATTTGGGCGTTCATATGTATTTTCTAAACTAGAAACACTCTCTAGAAGGTTTGAAATAAATCAGCTCCATGCAACCAAAAGCAGGGAATTGCCCTTCATCTCTCTGTCTTCATTAGTGGGTATATAATCCAGGATGAACAAATTTAGAGTGAAAAAATTAAAATCCAGGTATTAGGGGTAGCTTCAGACTAGCTCTAATCTGATCTGTTCAAATGAATGTCTGCTTTTAACTGGAGCACATGACTCAGTTCACACTCTCCATGAGGCAAACCAGGTGTTCTAAGTAGTTCAGGAGGTTTGCTTTTAAAACTTTGTGCCTGATCCAAACTCAAATGCTGTTACAGATAACCCACATGAGTCAACCCTATTACTCTTGTATATTTATGCTCTCATACCATTTGTGTGCAATTGGTGTAGTTCTTTACTTGTCCATAGTGATACAAGAATTAAAACATGGGAAAAAAAAAATCTATTATTTAAATATTACAACAGATACCATGCCCATTTTCACAGAACTGGTCTACCAGTTAGTGGAAAAAAATAATGAATCATAGCTATGTGTCTCTTCTTTAGCAGCTACTTGTAGAACCAAATGCTGATGACATTGAGAATACCAATAGTTTGAGTGTTTGATTTTTTTCTCTTTCAGGTATTATCTAAAGAACAAATTATGGCTTTTGGCACAAAATCTACAAAAACATTCACTTTAACAGCAGAAAATTCCTGGGCTCCTTTGATAGCTATACTTGTATTCTATGTAGATGAGCTTGGAGTGGTTGTAAATGATGCTCTCACTGTCCCCATCCAGCCTGCTTTGGATGACAAGGTAATTGTATTGAGATTGAATCTGAGACCATGTTTTTTTCTTTTAGATCATAGGATTGTAAATGCAAAAAAATTTTCATTGAGGATCTAACCTGAAGTTTGCGCAAGTCTTTAGAAAGACTTTTGATGATACCAGTATAATTAGGGTCCAGTTTTTGCATATTTGAGAGTCTTTTCTACTGGTGATGTGTTTTCCACATAAACAGATGCACACCATCTCCTTGTGTTTTTAGTGGTTTGGTGAATTACTGAGCCAAAGGTTACTCTGGCCAATACAATGACAAGGTATCCTATGTGCTTTAAGGGTAGAAGTGTAAAATTTTATAAAGACCTTGTTCTAGCCAGGCAGTTGTCACATTGTGACCAGTGTTTGTGTTTCATGTGACTATCCATACTTTTAACTCAAAAAGGTTTGAAGAAGTGTGGGGAATTTCAATTTCATCACTGAATTAATTTTTCCAGCTTGCTTACCAGGACGAGATTTGGTCCTTTGTGCAAATAAAAGCCTCCCTATAACTTTTTATAGGTGAGACCATCCAAAGGCTGGATTGGTTCAAATTCTTTTTCTGCTCTGGAGACTTTAACACTTTTAACCAGAAATTGGTAGGGAGCCTGTTTGTCCTGCTGCATGAAAAATGTCTCAATTTGCCTCATAAGTTATCCAGGTTACCAAAAGTCCTAGGAAAAAGACTCTCAGAGGTCCCCCATATCCCAAAGGTTCTAGGAAAAACAAATCCAGAGTCTTAATTATAGCCAAATAATGTAAAAAAACTACTTCCTGGTAGTTGTTAACAGCTGTAAATAGAATTCAAATCAGTGCTTTCACTTTTTTCTAGATTAAAATCTCTTGGAGCAAAGATAAGGCCAAGCCATCTGAGAAGGTCTCCCTTAAAATCAGTACAACAGAGCCAGGATCAGTAATTGGAATCTCAGTTGTTGATAAAAGTGCAAAGCTTCTGGGAGAAAGTAGTGACATAACAGAAGAATCTGTAAGTATATGGGTAAAGGAGGTTGTCATTATTGTGTGTATGAAAGATGTATATTTGTGGAAATGTTACAGATTATATGTTGAACTAGTAATGTTCTTTGAGCATGGTTTTTAGCCTGTAATTACGCAATTTTTTTTTTACTTTTGCCAGTTACATGAGTGGTGGAGACTGTAAAGCTTAAGAGGTAATAGGCACAGCATTTCCAATTCCAATCAATACTTCATTGTTCTTCATTTGATAAATTGTTGTGATTTGGCAGTTTCTTCTTTCAGAATAGACAATGTCAGAAAAAAAAACCCCTAATGATTTGTTCTTTGTGCTATTTAAAATTAATAATATAAAATAAAGATTTTTTTTCTTGGGAGGGCAGAATAAATTATTCATATGTTTAAATTACCTGTGCTTGCAGAAGATCAATTGCATTTACAGTTTGAAAGAGCTTACAATATATATCATTCCTAAGGTGCTCAAAGGACATAGCCTAAGTGCCATAAAATATCAGTGGGCTGTAGGCTTTATTCCAGGCTTATATACAGTCTTGGTCACTCTTCCATTAATCATAAACCCCCTTCAACTAACCCCCTTCATCCTGTCACAGATTATTTTCTCTTTGGCATGAGAGCTAAGCAACCTACAACTCGTGGTACAGCTGTATGAATTAGCAACAGTGAAAGTTCTTAAAATGTGAGCTGGCATTCAGTCTGTGGATGATTTTGGTTTTTTTTTTTTCCTTAGGTCCTCCATGAGCTCTCTTTATACAGCACAGTGCAGTATTTCCCCCTGGTCAGAGGTTCTTTTGGTGTATTTCAGGTACTGTTCTTTTTTTTTCATAATGCTAGGCTGTTGTTTTTTTACTGCTTAGTGATTTGAATGTCACTTGCTAGAAAAAAGTGAACTTTCTAACTTTTTCAACTATAGACAATGTAATGTTTTAATGGCTTATATGAGTTTCAAATTGTCAATCTTGTCAATATGTAACACTCTGAATGCCAAGGAATATATTTATTCCTCCTTATTTATTTTTTATTTATACCTCCATAAATACAGGTTGCTTTATGCTTGATATAGTCTTCACTTTGAAAGGTTTTCAGTCATTATGACAATATTCAGATTCATATCATCTCAGTTTTTTTGGTTTCTGTATATTATTTGCCTTAGTTTTATGCTTGCTTTATGACTTTATTTACCTAAAAAGAAAGAAGAGAAAAAGAAAATAGATAAGCACTGTTGATGTCCTGAATGTCCTGTACTGAGGTATACTGTATAAATTTTATCCAGAAATGCAGCCTTTGGGTATCAACTGATGCAGTTCTTGAGGAGGATAAGGAACATTTTCTTTGTAAGTAATACAACAAATGAAGCCAAATCTAATTTTACTGAGTGGGGAAGGAGGTCCATGGGATAGGGCCCCCATTACGTCTTCTTACTGTGCTGCATACAGGTTGCATCCAGCCTCGAAAATCATTAGCATTGCAAACGTTCAAGTCATACAAAATTCATATAATCAGCATTTCAGTAATTTTCCTTTTTTACTGCAGTGACATTAGCCCTAAAAGCCTGAAGATGAGTGGAGTTTTCATTTGCAGCTCCAGTTGATATATATTGCAGTGGTTTGTCATGTGTAGCCAAATTACACCAGTTTCATTCAACTCCACAGAGGCCATATAGAAATTTGTGTGAAACTTTTTTTAATTCTTAAGAATAAAAAATTCCTAGAGTCCCAAATATGTAACAAAGCTATAGATTAGACTCCAAACAATATATTAATTTAACTTTTCTTAAGTGTATTTATTTGAGCTTTCTAAATGTAGATATTTGGAGTAGGACAGTATTTTTTATTTTGCAGATGGTGGAATGATACCTATAGAGGATGGTTTCGGGGATGATATGCCTGTATCTAAAAATGGGCCTCCTGATTTCAGCAATCTCTATGTGAGAACACATTTTCCAGAGACTTGGCTTTGGATTGACACTAAAATGAGGTAAAAGTTAGAAGCAAAAGGAAACCACTTTGCATTTGCCTTTTTCTTTTTTGTAGGTTTCAGCAGCATTCTGCACCAGTGCTGAAGAACACTGCTCAGAAATGTAGATTTATATTCTGCTACCACCTAGAGGCCACAAGTGAGATTGGAGATTGAAAAAATGAGGAGTTGTACAACTGCACAAGAGAGGATTATGAGGCCTGACTGAAGGCCTAGGAGTTTCAATAGAAGTTAGATAAAAATCCTGAAGACAAAAGGAATAAACTCTTCCTTTTACAAATAGGGAGATAATGGATAGGGAGACCTAGCCTTTTTCTCTACAGTATATAAAAAGATGGTGATTAGCCCAGAAAGGGAAATTTCTTGCTATCTGCACCTAAATCAGTGAATAGATCAAACTGTCAAGTGATGGTGAAATCTGACCTGCATTGTGAAGAACAAATCTTGTATTCTTTTACAGCTGAGAAGTTCAGGAAACAACCATCACCTGGGATTGTTTAAAACGACCTGTAAAAGTGGATTACATGTAATGTGATCCAGTGTAATTACCTTCAATTCATGTAATTTAAAATAATTTAAATTTTTAAAATAATTTTGATCCCATCACAGTATTCTAAATGGTTAGAAAAGGAAAAATGGATAATGAGCAGCTTTTCTTTCCAGGAATTTGGACTTAATTTTTCATGCATTTGAAACATATGTGTCCACTTAATGATGTCTGTAAATGAATGGTTTTGAAAGTCTGCTCTCCCCTTCTGCCATCAGATCTGGCCCAGAAACCACAATGGATGCCATTGTACCTGACACCATCACGTCCTGGGTAGCCAGTGCTTTTGTGGTCTCTGAAAGCGGCGGGCTCGGAGTGACGACTGCTCCGCTGGAGGTACCATCTCACTAGAGAGCTCTCCTTTAGGGCTGGTCACACTGCAGCTTCCTGCTGGACTCTCTGATTTAGTTCTAACAGCAGCATCTCCTTGTACTAATGAAGAGATTGAGAGCCTGTGTGTGTTCAAGCTGTAGAGAAAACATCACTGAAAACTTATGTCAGACTGTATCTGCCTTCCCTTCCTGCTCTTCTAAGACTCCACACAGATATTTGGATGCCTGTTTCTGTTGGAGAGGTTTTTTTGTTAAAAAAGGATGTGCCCATTTCAGAATCTTTGTATGTAGGACAGTGGAATGACTCTTTGGGAACACTGTTGTTCCATGTTTTCTTGGCTCTGCCCAGAGAGCAGTCTATGAGTTGGTAATTCATGCAGTGAGGGGTGCACAGACTGCCTGGGATGTGAGAGGCATTTGTCTGCTGCTCTGCTAACACTTATGGCTAATGCTTACCCCAGGAGGGAGAGCAGGAGGGGTGATTTAAGGCTAAATTTATCTGTCAAAAACAGCCCTAGAGTAAACACAGGTACAACCTGCTCTGGGTAAACTTGCAGGGGACTTGGACTAGATGTCATCCAGAGGTTCCTCCCAACACAACCATTCCGTGATAGGTGCCAAGTTTTGGGTGACTTAGCTTGAGGGGCAGAGTGGACACTGAGAGCTGGCATGGGATACCTAGCTCTCAGTGTCCACAAAGGAATTTGTTGCTCCCAAATTCCTGTGTCCCGAGGCTCTTTTCTTGCTTCCAAGTGTTTGAGGAGTTTAGCAATTTAAGCTAAATTCAGCAGCCCTCAGGTTAGATCTCTAACCTGAGGTTCCCAGTGAACAACTGCAGTTGTCCTAGGATCACTCTGTATTCAAGGAAACCACTACTTAGAGAGTTGTTTAGCCTGTTTAAAATAGGAATTAATTCTTGAAGTCCCATTTAGCTTGTATTTTACATACACAGAATAATCTGTCCATTCATCATGTAAAGATCCTAGAGAAACTATGTTCCTATCAGAGACAACTCCACTTCCATACCTGAGTTTAGAAAGGTTGAGACTGTGGTAGTGGGCTGTAGATTTCCATCCTGGTTCCTGGACTAGTGTAAGCATAGCCTGAAGGCAGCCAACTTACCCATTCAAGTTCTCATGTCCTCAAATTCTTGGGGAGGGGCAATTTTTGAGATCCAAGCAGAGATCTAGGTCCAGATTCCACAGTTGGCTGCTACACCAGACACAGAGCTTGTGCTTTGAACATCCTGATCTGAACTTCACTACAGAATTTGGAGCCCAATCTGGATTTTGTGGCTAAGGCTCCTTTGAGACTGGAATCTTGATTCTTGTTTCTTTCACTTGGCTTGGCAGAGATGGGGCAGAAAGAGGAATAGTTTTCTGATTAAAACTGTAAGGAAATACACACTTGGCCTCTCATCCTCAAATGTGAGAAGGCTCCAAGTAGAACAGATGTTGAGATAATAATTAGCTATAATCACCCCCGTGCACTGTTCAGTACATCACTATTGTTGGGACATTTAGGTTGTTCTTAGAGCTCCATATGGCTGAAACATGTTAATCAGTACCATACAGAGAAGCAAGTAAAAGCAAGCCATGAAAAATGTAATGGGGGAAATAAATGGCATCTGCGTGCTTTATGTCATGTACTGCTTTGCATCATGGTTTTATTTTGACTTCTCCTACACAGAGTGTCAGTAATATTACTCAGTTGTATTTTTGTAATATACTGGCATATTCCTGAGTGTAAAACTTCAGTTTTAAAGAAAGGTAAAACAAAAAAGACAAAGAAAATAGGTACGTAGGGAAAACCTTTACTATGAACTAACCAAAAAGTCTCCATCAGAAGTTCTCTAATGTTTAATATCTAAAGAAGTTCATGATGCTGAGAGCTTTAGCAAACAACTTTTTTTTTTTTTTTGAGAAAGCATTGGAATATTTGCTAGCTAGAAAAAAAAAAAGCTGCAGAAATTTTGTTTCTGATACTCAAAACACTTGGAAGATGTTTTTAAATGCAAACTGAATTAAAGCACTTTTTAGTTGACATTTTGATAATAAAGGATAGCATGTCTCAGCCATTCTTATTGTACAGATGTTTAGTGAAATTTTGATCCCACTCAGCTTGATGAGACCTTACCATTGACTTCTTAGAGGCAAGACTTCTTCCAAAATTCTCTGTTCATAGAAAAAAGAAACTGCTTGCTGGTATACTTCTGCAGTTTATATTTTAATTACTATAGTATGTATTTTTAGAAGTATAACTACAGAACTTTTGCTAAGATTAATCTTACTAAATAAAAAAAACCAACATTGTAAACATTGTGTTGTTTAGTTACAAAAATTGGGTGAGGCAGTTATTAGTTACTAGTGTATTGACATGAAGATAGGTCAACTGACATTGATCCATTACTTGTGTACTCAAAGCAATTCAGTTACCTTAATGAGAGCTCAGGACAGATCACAGCTTCCAAACTTGCCAAATGATACTCTCTTAGTCCTTATTCAGTTGCCTCTGTTGGGACTGCCCTGTCAAAGCTGTTGGCAGCGCTCATCTGAGTGGTGTCTCTAAAGATGTTAATGACCAGAAGCATCTTCTCCTTCTGTTTCAGCCCTGCAGTAATATGTTTTGTCAGCTGTAGAGTACAACTAAACTCTGTCATTGAATTTAAAAGTGATTGGAAGACACGATGTATAGTAATTTTCTTTCTAGTCTCTGGTTGTAAGGGTTCATGACTGATTTTGTTTTGCAGCTAGAAGTTTTTCAGCCTTTTTTCATTTTCCTGAACCTTCCATATTCTGTCATCAGAGGAGAGCAGTTCATTTTGGAAGTGAACATCTTTAACTATTTGAAAGAAGAAGCTGAGGTAACATAACAATCTCTTTATCTTTGAATGTTACTAGATATTGCAGGGTTTTCCTCACTGGTGGAGACCATGTCTTTCTTTGTGAGAACTGGTGTATTTTCTTCAGTGGGCAGACCTATTTCTCTATACCCAAAAAGGGTGGCAGCTTATGAAAGCACCTTTTCAAAATTAACCCTTTGTGTTGTAAATTTTACTGTATTTTCAGGTTACTGTGATCCTGGATATGAATGATGCTTTTGAAATTATTCTAACATCCAATGAAATAAATGCTACAACAAATCAACAATCTGTATCTGTACCGAGTGAAGATGGGAAAACTGTTCAATTCCCAATCAAGCCAAAACAACTGGGAGAGATTCCCATCAAAGTGACAGCAATATCATCTGCTGCTTCTGATGCTGTTATCCAGAAAGTTATAGTCAAGGTAAACAGTCTGCTGCTTCCCTTGTTCCTGAAGTAAATTGTTCCCCAAAACAGGCTACATAGTAGAGCAAAAAGGCAAACCAGTGTACTTGTCTGCCTCACTCTGTTTGGTTGGGTTAGGGTCAGGCGGCTTTAAGTAGAAAACATTCTTATAAAATAATTTTTTAGAAGTGCTTTAAAATTCTTTAGAACCCCTTCCAGGAATGAGCTCATAGATCTGTTCTACTACAGATAGTTTGTCCAATGCTTCTTGAAAGCAAGGTGAAAGCTGTTTGTGTATCACTGAACCCCTGGTGCTGCAGCTGATTTAACTACCTGTGCAGAGTGGACCTGGTGACTGTTTTGGATAAGTGCAATCGATTTTGCCATACATCTGGCTTTCATTCAGATTATTTATTAATTATTATTAATCTATTTTAGATTAAAATTTCTGTATTTTGCTACAGGTGGAATTTTAGCCTCCAGACTTTCTGATAAACCAGACACTGATAAGACTTGCCTAGCTTTGGATATCTAAGTCTGATTCATGTTAGGCTCCATTTCAGTGGTGGACATTTGTGTATCTCATCCTGCAATAAAAGCTTAAGATGATAGAACCGAAGAATGGCTGAGGTTGGAAAGGAGTAGCATGACCTTCCTCTTCAGGGCAGGATCAATTACAGAAGGATACTCAGAATCCCTTTCTTTATCTTTATAGGCTGAAGGATTGGAACAGACATATTCTCAGACAGTCCTTTTGGATTTGACTGGGAATAAACGACAAGCAGTGTCAAAAACTTTGGAATTCACTTTTCCTTCTGATGTTGTAAGTGACAGTGAGAGAGTGCAGGTCACTGCTGTTGGTAAGAATTAACTTTGTTTCTACCTTTAGGGAAGGCATTAATTTTTATTTAACTGCAATATAAGTAGGTTGAATCATTAAGTCACAGTAATTTACCATCATGCATTAGGCTAAACATAGTTAGACCTTATGGATTGATTGTTTTATTCCTTTAATTTGTTTAATTTATGACAATATGACATTTGTGAGTTATTTTCAGAATTAGAGAGTTGGATTTTGGTCAGGAAGGTCCTGCAAAGTTTTCTAGTATCCTGTTATAATTACTGTGTCTGCAGAATGGTAACTATAACCTGACTAACTGTTTACTGTGACACCTAGGCTTTGATAACTATAGGTGAGAGAAGAAATAAATGAAGTTTACATTTTGCTGGATTAAATAGATTTTGGTTATGTAGGGTTTTGTTTGTTTGGTTTGGGGTTTTTTCTTTTTCATTTTTAAATGGCAACTCTTTGAAATTACTCTGTAATTGAAAAGGTCTGTAAGGAGCTGCAGCAGTGTGCATAAAGTGGATTAGTGGATGAAGTATCTTTTCTGCCTGCTTAGAGGTGTTTAGTAGAAACATTCCTAATATATCATATTTTCTCCCAATTTAGATTATACCACCCTTTATATATGAGGTATGCTTTTATTTGCAATAAGCTTTAATTTATTTTGGTTGAATTTTATCTTTCAGGTGATCTACTGGGGCCTTCTATCAATGGTTTGTCATCATTGATTAAGATGCCTTATGGCTGTGGTGAACAGAATATGATCAATTTTGCTCCCAATGTTTATATTTTGCAATACTTGACTAAAACCAGACAGCTGAGAGACGATATTAAATCAAAAGCAGTAACATTTATGAGAAAAGGTTTGTATGCATAAAATAAAGATGTTAGATTTTTAAGAGCTCTTCCTAGTAAAAAGATTTCTGTGACTCTGCCTCTGGTGTTTGAAATACTGCTCAGTTTTTGTCATGAGAACTGGAAGAGAAACCCATTTTTTCTTTTTCTTCCTCTTTATTCTGGGTTGATAGAATTAGACAGCAAGTTATTTTGTTTACAAGGGCAAGTTTTCTCAGAAAAAATTGTTGGTTTTGTATAATTGCTTTTTTTCATCTGAGAAATGCATTTTTAGAAGGTAATTCACATGGACTTCCTAGATGGTTATTACTTCTGTTTGATAAAACCACATGTGAGCAAACATTTCTGGTCTCTGCCTGAGGCACAGCAGTTTCAAATGAGTCAGTCAGTAGAGTGAACCGTATTCATGCCACATCTTCAGTGACACATCCTGACCTGACGTGTCCTTGTAGAGCTCAAGGAGTGGCATTTGATCTCACAGCTGGCTTTTTTGCCCACACAAATTTTAGGCTTGGTCAGAAGTGAACTCTGTGCTAGAAATCAAAAGCTGGAAAATTTTAGTTGGAAATTGTTATATATTTGAATCGGGAGATACTCCAGAGCATCACAAAGTTTGGAGACCACAGTTGCACTCTGGCTTTTGGATCAGACAGTGTCTGACTGTGGTGTCCCACACTTGCCATGAGTTAGTCTCATGCTGAGCCTGCTTCTCAGAGAGCAGTGACACCAGCCCCATGTGAGCCACACCCCTACTAAGGCATCGTGATGACATTTTCAATTCTTGTTTACTCTCTCTAAGTCTTTTTTGTTTGATTTTTTAAAGTTGTTGACATTTCCCTTGGAAAAGGCACAGCTCAAAATAAATTTTCCTTTCATCAGGATTCCAGTTTTCTGTCAAAGCAGTTAAATGATGTTTTTTTTAAACCCTTCCTACTACATGGTTTAGTTGAAAAGTACAGTGGGGAGGAAGATATGTGTTATGTAAACAGCTGCTCTGAAGTTTGTAAGCAATCTGTCACTCTTTTAAGACTGAGCTTTGGTACCATAGTTTTCTCAAGTTTTGCAATAGTGGATTTATTTCAGTTATTTCAAAGCAAATGAAAATTACAGGTTTAATGTCACTTACATACAGATTGTTTTGTGTTCTTAACTTTTTTCTGAGGCTCTGAAATGAGGTATGTGTTTTTAACACTGTAGGTGCCAGAACATTAAGTGTGCTGAAATATTTGTAACCTTAACGTAGAAAAGAACCACAATCTATAAATATTCTGGGTTTTTTTGCTTTATTTTAATAATTGTTTTCTGTTGTTGCACTGATTATTTTTTCAAGTGTTATCTTTAAGTTGAAATTAACTTTAACTTAAGATGCAATTTTTATAGGCTCAGTTTTTGAAAGGATTGTTATGAAGTTTAATTGAAAACAGACTATTTCACATGTCATAATTCACCAAGTATTTAAAAAAGTAACCTCAGAATCTGAAGTAAATATAATTAATTTATGGCTAAATACTTGTGAGAAGAAGGGATCATATAGCTAGCAGAAACTGCTATATGATCTTTATTTTAGCAGTTTCATTTACTTAGAACAAAGACAAAGCCAAAGAAAAGTTGCCTTTTAGGCACATTTCTTAATTGTGCTAATGATAAATCCCATCTTCAAATCACTTTTTCTGAAATGAAAAAAAAAACCTGGTTACTCTAAAAGCTTTGTTGTTAGACCCAAAGAGGTAAGGATTTTGAGCAGAATTTCCAAGCCGTGTAGAAGGTGAGATCCTTTGGATCTTTCACATCTTTCTGAAGTCCTTTCTGTCCTGATACATTCCTCTTGGAGCCTTGTGAGCTCTTTTCAGCGAGCCTCTTACATCTCTTGGGTTCCAGCCCAGCCAGCCCTCTGAGAACAGCAGTGGGCATCTTCATAACAGGATCCCTCTTTTCCTTCCACGTGTTGACGTTGGAGTATTGCTTTGCCCATGTGACTGAGTGTCTGCTGGGCCGAGCGCGGCGGCTCGCGGGAGCCCCTGGCTCTCCTGTTCCAGCGTTCCTGTGGTAGATACGCTCCTGCTGGGAGACTCTTGCGTGACTGCAGCAGGGCTGGCACGGAGACGAGAGCAAGCAGAGTGTAGGAAATAGCTGAGTGATCTCTCTCCCTCTGGTTCTGCTCATCTTTCTGATCCCTCCCCAGCTCATGCTCTGAGATGAATTTGCGCCTGTGAGCCCAGCAGTCTCTGTAAAGCAGGCTGAAAGCTGTAGTCTAGTGCTTCTACACTACCAGCAGGATGGTGATTATTGCTTATTGCTGTATATTGCCAGTTCTGCAGAGAAGCAGAAAACCTTATTTTCAGACCTTGCAGTCATACACTTTTGAAGAGGAAGCAGTCTGTATATATACATGTATTTGTGCTCCTCTTACAACTTCGACAGTGAATTTGCTTTTCTTGGTGAGAAATGCCACTCATTCTTCCTTCTTTTTCCTTCCATTTAAGAGTGCTTTACTTAGTATCATTAATTGAGATGATGGGTATGTCAGTATCTGAAGGATTCACCAGTTTTAGTGACATAATTAACCACTGTCATGTTAAATACATAATAAACCCCCTGTATTAAAGAAAACATTTTGATTGCAAATTCTTCTAAAGAAGACCTAAAAGCTAGATTTCTTGCTAATGGGAAGGTACCCAGATATACTGTAACAGATTTACAGCTTTATTTCTCACTCTCTTCTATTACAGACAGACCATGGCTAGGAATTCATCTTATACTGGCACTTAGATTGAGGGACCAGGCTATTTGTTCCTCAGTAATTAGGAGTATGGTTCACTCACTGTGTATCTACAGTCAGGATGGTATGGAAGTGGGTGATTAATCCTTTATCAGTGAAAACAAGGAACATTTTTCAGGGATGTTGTTACAGTTGTAGCTGGATGGACCTCACAGGACATATTTGTGTGAATTCATTAATTTGTGAAGGACTTACTGATGGTTGCCTGAGATTTTCTTTCTGCCTGTCTGATTCTGTATTGTGTCTGTATCTATCAGGTCTTCAATTAATGAGTATACTTTCTTAATTATAATAGCTAAAATAGTCAAACCAAGGGAAAAGACAAAGTGGAGGAAAAGAAAAGATGTTTTATGAAATGAAAAGATGCTGTTACTATTCTGGCTTCACAAATGGCAGGCAAAATGCAAGGGAAGAAAGGCTTTAGATATCAGAAACTACAGTGAGTAGCACATCATAGGAAGCTCTTCATTTCTACCATGAATGAACACTGGTTCTGTACAGAAATCATCTATGAGTGAGAATGCTGCTGCTGGTTGTGAGCAGCCAGTGAGCCTTTTATTATGGATGCCCTGCAGTCAGGAGATAGCTGCACTTGTTCAGGATATTGAACAAAGCTTAGAGTAACGTTTTAAATGGTTGTTCTCAGGATTTCATGATCTTCAGGTCTTTTGAAATTTTTCACTCATTTCAGAACAACCAGTTTTCAACTTGCTTTTTCTGATAGCAAGGCTACTGATTTGTCAAAAGCCACCTGAAGAGGAGGCCTGGTTTTCCAGCAGCATTTGTAGCCTTGCCCTTCCAGTTGGAAAACACTTAATTTTTGCTTGTGCTGTAAAGATGGAGCACTTCTGTAGGTACACAAGATCCCCAGAATGATAAAGCAATGAGCTGTAGCTGCATCTCTGCTCTGCTCTCACTGCTGTGTTCCTGGAACCCCTGGGTGTGCACATCTCTGCACTGGTTGGGTAGCTGATGAGCAGCCACAGGAGTTTCTGGTTCTCCTTTTGTGGATGGATCCTTCCTATTGCTGCCCACTTCCTCACCATTTTATACATGGTTTTGTGTGTCCTTGCATATTTGGGAGGTTTTTTATGAAAGACAAGCTTAAGTATTGCCCTTCTCAGCCTTAGAAAGTGCCTTGGTTCATACCAGCAGTTTCAGTTCCAGTTTGTGCAGGAACCCACATGAGAGGAAAGTGTTCAATACCTGTCTCTACTTTTCCACTTCAGGCTACCAAAGAGAGCTGCTTTTCCAGAGGGATGATGGCTCTTTTAGTGCCTTTGGAAATGAAGATCCCTCTGGGAGCACATGGTGAGTAGTTCTGCCAGAATCATTGTGGAATTTTAGTTTTTTAGATATTTTCCCTGCATCTGAAAACTTTTTGTGAAGCTGGTAAAAGTTTCCAGCTGTATTAACCTTCTGCCTGGTTTTCATTAGGTGTTTAGGCCAACTCTAAGTCTTTCTTGCTGGATAACATATTGTCAAAGGCATTATTAGGGCAAGGCTTTTTAATTTTGGGGGGAAAAAAAGGAATGATGAATTATTTTAACCAGGGAAATAGTTTAGTCTGAAAGTTTTTTTCTGTTGCTTTCCTCAAAGGAATGAAGAATAACAATTAAAATGGTTATTCTTGCACTTGACTGAAACCATTTAGGGCTGTGTGATCATTGCTGCTTCAATCAGATTATCAGTTATCTCCATACTGGAAGCTGAAGACCGACTGAGACATTTTGTAGGGGGTGAACAGAGTTACTGGTGGCAAAAATTTGTTCTACTTGCATCTGTCACGCTTCCTTTTTATTGAGACTGTAAATACAGCTGAAAAAGTCTTTTCAGTGCTGAGTTTCACTCCAGGAAGCGTACAGAGCATAGTTGTGGATAACAGAGAGAGGTTCCAGCACTTTGTTCTGCTAACCCTTGCTCTCTTTAGATGTACTGACATATTTCAGTACATGCTTCTGTGCCTGTGCCACTGAATGAGACTTTCTTCTGGACTCAGTGGGCATCTTTCATTGACATCAGCAGGATTTGCCTTTGACTCAACATTGATGGATTGGAAGATGAAGATTGCTTATTTGTACTGGCAACTCTAGTACTTAAATAGTGCAGTGACAAGTTACATGAATGCACAATTGGGAAGCAGGGAGTCGAGGGAAAATGTGGGATTAATAATAAAACAAAGGTTGTTTCAAGGATATAATTACAGGGATAGTGCTGATAATTAACATCAAACCTGTTGCTGCATTACTTTGTAAATTATAACTTCTGTGTAGTGGCAGAAAGCAGGAGAGCAATGTTTGAATAAAGATAACGCTTGTGCTGGCAGACTCAGAGTCTATACTCTGTATTTATTTTTGAAACATAGCTGCAGAAGGGGTGATCTTCAGGAAAAAGGACATATCTTAATTTTTTGGTGGATTAAATTTAGCCTACTTGCTTATCTGGGTGAGGCATGCATTTTGCTCTGCTTGGTAGGGGTGCGTAGAACACCTTATGCTTTATAGTTATTTTTATATAATCTGAAACAGAGGAAGCTGTAATGCATGGCTAATTTTGACTTATTTGATGAACCTTTTCCCCAAGGTTATCAGCTTTTGTATTGAGATGTTTCCTTCAAGCCCGTCCATTCATAGATATTGATGAAGAGGTGCTCATGGATACAGCTAAATGGATTGTCCGTCATCAGAAAATAAATGGAGAGTTCCAGGAGCCTGGGAAAGTGTTACACAGTGATCTTCAAGGAGGCACCAACAATCCAATTACTCTCACAGCTTACATCATGTCATCTCTCCTAGGGTTCCCAGATAAACAGGTATTGGAATTCATAAATATGATTCATAGTCAGGAGACCTGGCAAACACTTGGTAGTTAATAGAAATAGAGGAATATTTGAACATTAGACAAAATCTAACCTCATTGTGTTAAATATCCCTTACCTATTCAAGGCAATGCAAAGTTGTGTTAAGCCCTTCAGTTTTATATTTGCAAAATCTAAAAGCAGTTTCTGTTGGCAAGAGTACTGTCATGACTTGAGTCCAAGAACTTGGAAAGAAATTTCTTCCGGGGAACTTAAAAATATTAAGCCATTCCAGTTGATTTAATTGAAATTATTCATTTTCATAAAGGCAGTGCCAGATCAAAAGGCTTGCCTTTGAGATTCGTGTGTGACTCTGAAAGGGATTTTCATTGTTTCTTGGCTGTAGTTTGGGGCCAATAATTTCTCTGGTTCAGTACAAATTTGTCTTTTACATTTTTCAATTCCAAGATAGGTTTTATTCACTGTACATTCTTCAATATTATCTTAATTTCCAGCATGCTTATGCCATCAAGACTGCTACAAACTTTCTAGAAGATAAATTAGAAGAAGGCATTTCAGATAATTACACATTGGCAGTTGTGACATACGCATTGTCCTGGGCAAAAAGTCCAAGAGCAAAGGAAGCACTGAATATGCTGAACCAGAGAGCAGAACGCCAAGGTACTGCACAAATATCTCACACAGTTGTACAGATAGATTTTTGTCAAATTTAAAAATGTCTATCACATATCTACAGCTCTGTGCTCAGAATTCAAATCTGTTCAGAGTACGATATGGAGAATTAGCTAAGAAGTCCCAAGACAGCCTTAATAAGAAGTGTCCGCAAATGAGTGACAATTCACAACAAGGCTTGGGCCTTCAGTCTCAGTTAGTGTGTTCCTGATATAGGAGTACTGTGATGCTGTTGAAGGACATGGCTTGTCAGTTTTCCTGTTTTATTATGCACCTCATATGATCAGCCTGGTTTAAAGAGAGATGGATGAAGTTCACTCTTCCAGTGTAGTTTGGAGAGATCAGGAGGGTATTGGGGAGCAATGAATATTAGAAAGAAGAGGTGAATTTTGGAATTTCTGTAAGGCAATGCAGAGGTCTGTTGCACTTTCTCTGGGGACCTATCATCTCAGTATATTTAACCTCTTTCAAGTTCAGTTGAATTCTTTTTCCTAATTTAGGGGAAGAACAGACCATATGGAGTATAGGAAATGGAAGTTTTTGGCTCAAAATAGTAAGTGTTTTCATGAAGAATCCAAAGGAAGTTGTATTGTAGGCAAGGGAACCTTTTGAATGTCCGTCTGTCTTTACGGAGTTAGGCCTTTTGGACAGTCACTTCTTGGAAGAGAAGTCATTTTTTTGGGAAAGCTTTACTCAAGAATGAGTCTGTTGAGCAGCTGTGCTGCCTGAGATGCCTTCTCTGGTCCTGAGAGAAAGGAGCACTAGAACAACAAGGTGGCCTTTTCAGAAAGGCTTCTTTATGTGAGCACTTCAGGCTGACAAGGAAAGGATCAATGTAAAGTTCACTGAAATCAGTTGAGTGACTATTTAGACTCCAGCTTTTTTTGTTGGTAGATTCAGACATTGCTGAGGAAGTACCTTATGGAACCCACACCTAAACATTAACACAACATCATAGATCCCACAGAGTCCATGTGTAACCATTAATGAAGAGTTTTCCCCTAAGACTTTCCCAGAAATCCAAAGACTTCAGTCTGTGAATCAGGTTATTGTTGGTTCCTTTTACAGGAGAATTTCGTTTTTGGGTAACACCTGCTTCTGAAATTTCTGACTCATGGCAACCACGATCCATTGATATTGAACTTGCAGCATACGCTCTGCTCTCTCACTTTCATCAAGACAGATTAGCTGAAGGGATCCCTATTATGAAATGGTTAAGTCATCAAAGAAATCACCTTGGGGGATTTTCATCTACTCAGGTAATACCTTGTCTTAAGGGGTTTTGCTATACTTTCTAAAAAGCAGTGTATAATTCAAAACTAAAAAGAACCATTCTTACACAATAATTACTGAGTTCTGTTTTGCTGTAACAGCTTTGGTTATGTACCAGCTTGCATTATTGGCATCTTACTCCTGGACTGACAGTTTTAGTATTTTTGGCAAGTCTAATAAAAAAGAGAATTAGAGGGAAACCTTCTTTACATAATGTACTAATAACAAATTAAGAAGAAATAGTAGTGCCTGTGGAAAAGTAATTAAACATATTTTTGAAACAAGTATGATGAATGTATATGCTTACTTCCTTTCCAAGGAGAGAAGCCTCTTTTTATTTTTACCATGTGCGGGTCCTCAGACTCCTGAAAGGCTATTAACTGAGCCTTTTACTAAAGGGAGTAGGTTTTAGAAAAACAGCCTAACCTAATCCGTCTTCTGGCAGCTGATCTTAACTTACTAATGTACTTTGTCCTTATTATTGCATAGACTTTTGATGGGCCATGAAATTTGGAATATCTTCACTATCTCCAGGAGGTTTCCATGTTATTGAAGCCACGTCTTGTAAGCTGTGCTGGCATCCAAAAAATTAGATAGTACTTTGGATTGCATTGGTTTAAACCAGATTTTAAATTAACTACAAATGCTGGTCACAGTAAAATGTCACATTTCATCATGCTGCTGGTACCAAGGTGTACAGCCTATCCTTCATTATTTTCAGATGTTGGTTGGTATTAATCTGAGAGAAATGTGTTCTGAGTAAAATGCAATTTAAGAACCAGCCTGGTTCCTCTGAGTGTTAATTCTTGCTTATTACTTGCTTAATGTGTTAATTCTTGCTTATTATTTGGAGAGGTTGATTGAAGCATTAAATGAGTTTAAAAAGCTTTTCTCTATTCTCCAGAAACCTATTTCACTTGGAAGTTTGAAAATCTATCATTTACCCTTGAGGGTGAAATTAAGAAATTAATTTAATCCTTTTGTTCTTCCATAGTCTAAACTGTTTAGATTTTGAAATTGCTCCAATGTCTTGCTAGATGCCTTTTTGAATTTGTAGAAATTACTCCATAATTTTTTACTTAGCTGCTAAGTTTGCTTTAAAAAATAATGTTTGGAGTGTTTCCTTCCGTGAGTTTATTACATAAGAAACTTAATATATTGTTGAACAATAAGGAGGAAAGCATTAAGTTGTATGTGTGATGCTTTATAAGTTAGGGTGTAGTAATTCACCATAATCTGTATACATGATACAGTTTACTGTGAATTTGCAGTTGCTAATGAGCTGATCTTTCTGCATGTTAAGAAATCAGTGAAGCAGGGCATCTCAGAAAAGGATGTGGCATGGGAAGGAGAATGGTTTTTTAATCAGTTACAGTGAATAGTAAGCCCATACTAGCCCCTTAAGGTATGGCACAGTCACCATGTTGTAGTGAATGAATTCCTGTTATGTTAGAGTTTTGTTACTAGAAGAGGCCTAATAATAAATAAAGTATCTGTGTGCCAAGCCTGAAAGGCCAATTTCTCCACTATGACTGGTTAAAAATAAGTGCAAAATAAACTGCATGAACAGTAAAAATCCCTGAGATTAGACACATATATTTGATTACTGTGTTTCTTCCCAGAAAATAGTGGATGTTAAAATTCTCATTCCCTAAACTGGGCTGGACCAAACATTCAAACACTGCCTCTTGTGTTCAAAACCTGGAGAGCTAAGCTTACAATCACACACAAAGATGAAAAAAAGAATTACATATATGACTGTGTGTTTATAAGTATATCCTGCAGTGGTTAACAATTGCACAAAACCTTTGGATCAAATACAGAGGGTGAACTGGGCTGAAACCCTTTGAAGTCGTTGCTGAGTGTCTGATAAAAATTCATTTCAGCCTTTTGTTAAAATTAGTGTTAATGATTTTTCAGACCTGTAGCTTTTGCATCAACGATCAAGGCACCCTGAAAAATTCCTGTGCAGTACTGAGCACTTAATGCACAGTCACTAAATAAATCTAGAAAGTAGCAATGTCATTACTTTCCTCTGTGTCTTTCTCCATGATTGGTGTGTAACTCTGACTGTTGTGTCTTTCAGCTTGTCAGGTGTTGCACGTACCTTGCACAAGAGGAAAACTTCCTTGGCTGGCTCCCACCTCATTTTCCATTCCCACAGTAGCTAATTTCTTATCTTGTGTTGCTCTCTCTTCTGAGCTGGGATCTTCATGCCAGGGCAATCCAGAGATGGGGAGGTGGCTGCAGGAAGGCTCCAGCATAATCAGCAAATGGGTCAATGCAGGGACTACGAGCTCCCCAAGCCATGGTTTGTGTGTTGTGCTGGCTGCTTCTTTTCAGTACAGAAGGGTTTGTTTCTCTCAACAGGACACAGTGGTGGCTCTACAAGCCTTGAGTCTGTTTGCAGCTCTCACTGTGGCAAGCAAAACAGAAATGGATATAACAGTGACAGCCCCTTCTTTGGAAATGCCAGAGACATTCTCAATTGATAATCGAAACCGTTTCCTGCTTCAGACTAAGGAGGTATTGTAAAAAGTGAGGAATACTTTTGTGAAGTCTGCTGACTGAAAGTACTTTGAAAATACTGGTTTGTTCATCTTTCTTTCAGATTCCCCCTGCACAACAAATGACAATGACAGTGTCAGCGGAGGGAGTGGGATTTGCTGTCTTTCAGGTAGGCAATGCAGGCAGTCAGGTAGGTATTCTTGCTGAAGATATGCTTTCTGCAAGGAAGGCGTGTTTTGGAAGTTTTATACAACCTCTTAATAGGAGCAGTCTTCCAAAATGTCTTAAATCAGTAGCAAAGCACTTCACTAACTGAAGAGTGCCGTGAATAAAATATGGATATATTACTGTCATTTCTGACCAATGGTGTGGCCTTTTAAGTACTGCTGGATGACTGACAGTTTTGGGGCACTTTCATGAGCCAGAGCTGTATCAAAGCAGCCCCGTCCTCCTGCAGAGATGCAATGTCCATTTGCAAGACAAAGGGCTGCAGTGGTACACTGGCAGACACAGAGTTCAGGATAAAACACATATGTGGACTAGGCAGAAATGCCTCATTTGAGAACCTGTGGTAAACCATAATAAGGCACAGATCAATACAGAATAAGATTGCATTGCTGGTTATAAGAATTATTTTCCTTTCATATTCATATCCATATTCATATTATTTTCCTTGAAGTAGAAAGCAACAAAAACTAAAAATAAGAGGTTATTACAGCTAGGTTCTCCAGCAATTTTTACAGTGTTCTGAAATAGCATGAAAAAGTCAAAGATTCTGAAAACTACAAACAGTAAAAGACACTTAGCGTCAACCAAAAGTGTGGGCATGGCAGAAAGTGGAAGGAGAAATACCATAATCAGAAAACAGTATTGGATCTAACTTGATATGGTCAGCAGTGGATCTCACTTCCGTGGTGCCCTCTCCATGGCATTTGGTTGTGACCACACAGGTGAAAGAGCAGACCTTGGAAAAGTTAGCAGAAATACTAGTCTCTGAGCATGAGAGACTGATTTTATTGAAAGTATAAACTTATACTTGATGACTATGTCACAAAACAAGAGTTCCTACTGGACTACTAGTCATGCTTGAGAAAACTGATCCAAAGTCACCTTTGAGTGTCTCCAAGTTTTTATGCCAGGTCAGATTCTACCTCAAGTTCCATCTAATCTCTCCTTCACTTTAGTGTTCTTATGCATCTGGGAAGCAAAAAAAGCCTGGTGATGGTTGTAAATGTACTTTGGGATAAAACACCTTTTCAAAGAAGTCTTCACTGCAGTGAACAGCATCTGGAGATACACCTCATTCATTCACCACCAGTCTGCAAAACCCACAGTGCTATAAATCACAACCCACGATTATTAATTCCCAGAAGTACAAATGAAGTTACAGCAAAGTTCAAAACTTTCAGAGGATAATTTAGATTCAGACTTGCAGGCCAAGATAGGAATGAAGATCTCAGCAGGACTGTGTTCACACATCTGTGGTTTCAGTGTGCCTGTGTGTGTGATTGTGTGGAATGTAACAAAGTGGGGCTCCAGAACAGTTAAGGCTACTTAACCCTAATCATTGTTGAGAAATACTTCCTGATATTTAGCCAGTTAATTTGTCAGGCGAACTGATGAAAAACTTTTCAGCAAATTGTTTTTTGCTGGAAAACACTGATTTGTTGAAATAATACTTTTTGTGAAAACACATTGGTTCCAATTACATTATTTCCAGCAGGAAAATTTCACATTCAAGCTAGCATGTCTGGTGAAGACTGGGCAGAAGTCTTCCACCAAGAATAGCCAGTTGACTGTGGTGGAGCATTCCCTGGGGTGTATAACACCAGGGTTTAAGTTCCTGGTTTGTTCCATGAATATGGAAATGTGCTCACAAAGAACTGGTGTTCACGAACCAAGGCTAGATTACCTTTTTCATTTAGGTCACTGTGCTGTTGCCTCTTTTCCTGAAGCTTAGAGTCAGAGATGCTGTGACTTGATTCAGAATATTACACTTAACACCCTGGAACAGTTCCTCCAAAACCTTGTCTTTGCTGAGATCAATTCCTTCCTTCTGCTTCCTTTGGCAAGTCTGGTATTCTAAAAGAAAGAGCACTGAGGACACTGAATGAAATTTCTCCTTTTCCCTGACATAGGCTAGGTCTGGATCGATTTAATAAATCAGATAGCATATGACATTGCAATCACATTTCTTCAGCTGGGTTTTATTGTGTTGGGCCCATCAGAGTACAGTGGTAAGAATCACTGTTCTGGGATTTGGCTTTCTTGCCAAATGTAGCATGTCAAAACAGTAATTCATTTAAGTATCACACAACACAAGATTAAATCCATTAATGGAAACATCATGCTTTTCCAACAGAATGGATTCTTAAAAAAAAAAATTTTTTTTTGTGAAATCTCACTGTCTCTGGGTGCAAGTTGGCAGTGCATTCACTCCTGACCCTTCAGGATCTCATACAATGTATTTATTTTGGATATTATGATTGTAAAGGCAGCCATTTACTTACTTTTGGTCCTGGTGTCAATGAAGTTTTCTAGCTCATCTCTCCATTGTAGGTATATCCCATTGTGGGTATATCCCATGCATGACCTAAGACACTTACTCTGGAAGAGGGAAGAGAAGATGGGTTGGGGTATTATGAAAGATGTTCTAGAGAAAGGAGTCAAAGAAGCAGTCTTCCTTAGGAGGCCTGCTGAAAGTCTTGAAAGAAACGTGTTTCTTCTGTGAGCTGGTCTTGACACGTGACTAAAATAATTGGCATGGCCCGTGCTTTCTTAGAAGGAAGGAGAATGCCACTAAAATCTAGAACCAGCAACAAGGGGAGGGTGGACAGGCTCAAACAAGGATGGGTATGGGCAGAGTGGATAGGTGAACAAGATCTCCTCAATCTCCTGATGAGGTATAGAGAGGGAATGAGGAAAAAACCTCAGAATTCCTTGAACTCATTACTGGAAACAGTGACTGTTTTTTCCACTCAGTGTATTTTTGCTGGACTTAGGCAGAGGACTGAATGTTATTTAGTGTGATGGTACTGAAATAGGAACATGATGAAATGCACACATATTTCTCCATTACCATTTGAATGGATGTTGAGTACTCAAAATGAACAGAAAATATTGGCGATGTTTTCATTGAGTTCACACGCTCAGTCAAGCTCATTTATGATACCAGTTGGAGAAGAAAAGGGATAGGCATTGATTAAGGGATTATAAAAGTATAAATATATTTTTAGAAGTGTAGTGCAATTGATAGTGTCAGCTAGTATTTGAAGCATCACTCTCCTGCAGAACACTAGCTTTTAATTTTCTCTTTTTGGGCCTCTCACCAGAACTGGTTGCACTACATACAAGACTAGACCAGTTCTGCCTTAGCTTTGGCAGTTGCCTTTTAAAACTTAAGAAATGCATTTGCTCATTTTGTTAATTTAATGTGAGTTTCTGTATAATAGCCTTCTGTCCCCAACGTGAGTGTGTATACAGAAGGCGGCTTTAATTAAACTCTGTGTTGTGAACATGTTTTCCTTTATTGTCATGAGGAATAGGGAAAAGAATGTCAGACCATAATAGCAATAGCTTATTCCATGAAAATGCTAGCTGATTGACCTGTTCAGTATGTGGTTTCCAAACTTCCTGCCTTGGCAGTAAATTCCCATTCATTAAGCTTTTTCTGGCAAAAGTTAAAACAGTTTTGTTTCTATGGTGACAGATTGTTGAGGCACTGCTTTTTGTGTGCCTTCTACTGGCAGGCATTCTAGATTGGTTTCATCCTTGGTACTGCCTTCTCCTGTGGAGCAGTTGTGCATGATAAATCTTCACAGCTGCACCATGGCTGTCCTGAGTGCCTCTGCAGAACTGGCTCTGCACTCATGCAGCATGCTAAATTCAGCAGTGTTGGGCAGGGCAATGGGAATTATGTGTAGAGATTGAAAGAAGGAGCATAATTTTTGTTCAGAAAGTGAGAGACATGGCAACAAAAGCAAAAATCAGAAATGAAAGATGATTCCCTCAGTCATCCAGATAAAACGCATAGCATGGTGAGGGGGTTCTTCTTTGCTTTTAGTAGAAAAATAAGCAGAAAGTGGCTAAAATTATTCCCCTTGCAAGACCCCAATATGCATTTGGCTTGGCTAAAGAAAAGGGAATGAAAAGTGCTTCTGGAAAATCACAGTCCTTCTACAATGGTTTCAGGTAGCAAATGGAAAATTGTCAGTCCAAATTTAAAGGTATGACAGGGGCTTGTCCAAGTTATAGGTCAGCAAGTCAATTATAGGCTAGCAGGTCTGTGCAAACGTGTGTTTTCTCATGTGAACACTCCTCTGGTGTTATGGTGCTAGCAACTTGGTGTTTAAACCACACTGATTTGCTCTATATGTCACCTGATGTCTGTACTTGCAATCCACAGCTGAATGTGATGTACAACACAAAGCACACCGATCAGAGGCTCAGATCTGTCCAAAATCAAGAAGCCTTTGACTTGAATGTTGATGTAAAAGATGATAAAGATGATACAAACCACTTGACTTTGAATGTGTGCACAAGGTAGGTAAATCAGTTGGAGCATCTCATACACATCTTTGTATATACCAACTTTAGATTGCTTTAAATAAACTAAGTTATCCATTTGTTTGTATGAATTTACTAATGTCTGGGATATAAATGTATACAAATATAAAAATGAGGAAGATAAAAATTACTTTGCACAAATGATAGTAGTGAAACTATGAATCAATTTATAAATCAATTTTTGCTGGCCAGGTGATTTTTTTTTTTTACTATTATGCATAAAGATTGAAGTACCCTAAATGTTAGAGGAATGTGGAAGAGTTTGTGTGAAATACAAGAAAAAAATCAACAGTTTCTTTGGTGCAAGTGCTTTTGAGCTATAGGGATGTGTGTGGACAGACTTGAAAATTGGATCAGTATCTCTGCATTCTAACTTGAGTAGCAAGCTGTGACAAGGGCCTATTACTCTGACCTTTCATGAAAACAATCCTTTGCTTTTGATACAGAAGTAGATACTTCCTTCTCTCTTTACTTTTTTGTAAAGAGAGAAGGAAGTTCTGAAGTGCTGAAAACACCATGAAGTAATCATTATTTTTTTTCATCTCCATAATTAACTTCACTCAGAAGGATTTCGGCAGGAGTCAAAATCCATATTTACATTATAATAAATTCACATTGCCTTATTGTGCAGCTATCTTTGTGGTCTTTCATTCAGCAGTAGCAATGAACTTGGTAATAGACTACAATACATTATTCTAGATTTGAAAGAGGTGGAAAGTTTTCCACCCAGGCTAATTCTGTTCTTTTTGCTGAATAAGGAAGAGGGGGCAGGAGGATATGGGAGAATATGTGCATCTGGGGTGATGTTTCTTGTTCAGTAATCAGCTACTAAAAACTGAGCTGAGCCTACTCAAGTATCATCTCAGGGACCACAGGACAGCCACCTGGTGTTACCTGGGTAGAATTTACATCACATGAGAATAGGTGACTTTGAACTGAGTATTCCTAGATCAGCCAGTCAATCAAGTTATTTCTTTGACTGCTTTGTGCCTCCATTTTGCTTGCTGTGGAAGTGTTCATACACATATTTAAAAGGTATATTTGAAGGTGTTTGTTTTCTGGCAGTTTATCCAGTATGCATTTCCTATTGTAGTTAAAGACCACTGCATATTTCATATGAAACCCTATAGGACATTTTATCTCTCTCTCTATATATGTATTTATGGTTTTTGTCTTCTGTCTTTTATAATCCACAATAATGTTGTTGAGATGACTGCATTTGTTGTATTTAAGGATTTCATCCATTTGTGAATACTTCCTCTAGAAACATTGTTTTTTTCTTGTGGCATTATACATATTAGATATATAACATCTTGTTACATTCCTTGTAAAGGCAAGATTTGCAAAGTACCACCCGATCCACCATGATTCCTCTTACATGCCTTTCATCCACACCCTCTTTTTGCTATTTCTTTAAACTTTGTACACCGTATGCCTTGAACTGTTCTAACTCTCTGTCTTCCACAAGGGAGCTGGGACTGGAGATGAGCCTCTAGGTGACACCATCATACAAATAATCAGCTATAGAGAATATGATTTCAGTACAGAGCATTGATTTAATTTGGGAAATAGCCAGCAGGCATAAAGCCAGACCTCTGTTTTTATATGTTTCTAGTATTCAGTTCAGTGACACAGATGGTGGGCAGAGACACTAGTATGCATGAGAGCTCTTGAAACAGAATGGGCTTGTTCTCTTTTAAACTTTTCTATGAAGTGTCAACAGCATTCTAAAGTCTAGCACAAACTCCTGACATGTAAAGGGTTTACATGCTGGGTTTGGGGTAAGTAGTTTTTGGGCAACGCTCTAGCTAAGGCCTTTCGCTTAAAATACAGAGAAGAAGTGCTCCATCTCTCTGGGGATCTTCTAGGGTGGTGATGCTTTAATTGCAAAGTGTTCAAAGAAGAGGGGGAAATCTAGTGACCTTGAAAAGCAGCCTCAAGAGATTACTTGGAACATTTTGATAGTTCCAACATCAGTTCCATCAACTCTTTTTGTGAGAAGTGGACTGGTACTTTGAGGAAGTCTGTTTAAATTGCTTAGGCTATGGCTTCATCTCTGATTGCTAACTTCAGAGACTAGTCATCTTCCTCTTCTTTTCCCTATAAATTGTATATAATACATGCCTTATCTATATTCCTAAATTAGTTTAAAGTTGCCTACTTCTGATCTTTATAACATGATCTGGCTTTCTAGTAGAGAAACCAATACAAAAAGGCTGTTGAAATCTCAATGTGTGGGTGTGTACAGTCTAGCTGTGGGTATGCATCTAGCTGTAGATATATATAGTTAGGTACTGAAGGCTTCAACTTCACAATTTTTTTCTTTAATCTGGAGAATATCCAACTTCTCTCAGCCAGTTTGATAGGGGTTGGCTATGGTCTTCTTAACTGGTATTATTTATGACACTAGAGCAGATGATGTCTCATTCAAATTGAAGTGGTTCTTGGTTAGGGGAGCTAACACACCCTCTCTGGGAGGCAAATACCCAGGATTGCTAGTTTTTTCTAAGTCTTATTGCCTGCATACCTTTTCCAGGCATGGGAAACTGATCACTGATGGTTCAATTTACACTCTCATTTCTGCTTTCTGCCTACATTAGCTTGGTTTTGTTTTCTCTTTGTATCATCTGTGAGAGGGTCTCAACCTGATCTCATATTGCTGAAGAGCTGAAACATAAATTTCAACTGAAAATATTATCCGTTTTCCTCAGATACAAGTTTCAAGTCTGTATTTCTCTTAGTGGTCATTCTTGCATGATGATTCTTTTCCCTTTTTTTAAGAGACCATGGAGTTCAAGAGATGGTACCACAACCCACCTCCAAGTCTGCCTCTCTTCCTTTTTTTGAGAGCCAGATCCTCATAAATTCTAGGGATATATCTAATTCACTCCCTGACAGTACCAAGATAGTTTGGTTCTCTGTTGATGTTTTAGTAGCACCCCAGGCTGGCTAGACAGCTTGGATATTTTATTCTCCTCTTATTGGTAATTATGCAGAAATAATTACATCCAGTTCCAATTCAATTATTTGTTTTCAATAGCAGCTACTTTGGCACAGCACATCATCAAACAGATGGTTTCAGTTGTTTCTAATCTTGTGAGCCAACTGAAGTCAGCAGTTGTGCTGTATTTCTTTCAAAGTTGTATCTGCCTTGAATCAGCCAGGCTTAACAGCATTGCTTTGAAAGCAACTCTTCCCTTTTATTTTTTTTTTAACTACCCAGCCCCACAAAGAAATAGTTTAATTACTTTCAATACTGCCAGGCTTTCAAAATAAGGATTGGAGACACTTTTATTTTAGTGGGACAATAATCATTTACCTTCCGTGCTAAGGCCGAGGAAAGTCTTCTGCTACCTGCTTTATTTAAAGCAGTAGAATCTTTTGCAGGTCATTTAGGTGACACTTGTAGCACAGAGCACCATAAATACATTTTGATACATCTGTTATGCACCCTAGTGTGCAAGGCTTGCTCAGTAGAGCAAACATTTACTCCAGCATCTGGTTTTCACATTGGAAGAAGATATAATAGTAAGCATTATTTAGGAAAAAAAAAAAGGACTCAACTTATTAAATCTTCCAAATGTTGATTAATAATAACATTGCTATGCATTCTAAAACTGAAACTTTGTGAAATAATTTGGTGATGACTTTGTTAATGGTACCATCAGTCTCTGTGAAGGAAATATGAAAAGGTCTGGGAGACTTTGGTGTATACACGTGTATCTTAGCCTCCAAAATGAATAAAAGCAAAACAATGCATCCATAAGAGGAAATACATATTTCAGTATTTCAGTACAGGAATTCCTACAGCAGTTTCTTAATTGCTTCTTTTGAAACGTGTTTAATTGCAATAGTTTCTACATATTTGTAAGATAAACCTGTACTAATAGATGCCAATTGAAAGTTCCTCATGGTGTCAGTGTAGTCTCTCACATGATTTATGTATTGCAGTTTTCTCAGTGCTAAACCAGCTTTTGCATATGTGGCTAAAATTAGCTGGAAAAATAATTGAGAAATTACTTATTAGCTCTTTATCATTAGACATTTTCTTGTCAGTATTTTGTTCCATTTCTTTCCCAAGTATTAAGCATTATTATTTCATTAGTTGGGACTTAAAGATCAAATGTTTTCTTTGGAGAGTGGGCTACTGTATTTCTACTAAAAGTTTCTTTGTCTCTGTGTTTTGGAAAGGTACTTTGGTTCTGGCTCGGCTCCCAGTAGTGGCATGGTCCTCATGGAGGTTGGCTTACTCAGTGGTTTCTCTGTGTCACCAGATTTTGTTCCATTAGACAATACAATTAAGAAGACGGAAAAGGATAATGGAAAAGTCAACCTATACTTTGACTCTGTAAGTTGGAAATAACAAAGAAATGTGTTTGTGGTGGTTTTAAGCTTGACTCTGACATTGTTAGGCTTAAATTTGGAAAGACATTATGATTGTGTTCTTCGGGGACAATCAACATCTGCTATTTACATGGAATTAATAGTTCTTCTGGTTTTGAGTGAGACTGATTGGATAGGTGCAACTCAATTGCATTTGTAAGAAGTTTCTAAATTACACCTCTTAAAAATCACACATAAGAAGGCAGAAATTTAATGAAGTCTGCAATTTGACCAAAATGACTGCAAACGAGATAATCATCTTTATATACATCCTGACTCTTAAGCCTCTATAAATGGACTACCATTGAGCTAAAAGTCCTTAGCTCCTCCATGAAGCCACCATCCCCAGGGTTCTCAGGATGTTTCTCTTCTGTTTTCCTAGCTAAATGAAACACAGGTTTGTGTGGATATTCCAGCTGTGAGAGACTTCAAGGTGGCAAATATCCAAGATGCTTCCGTGACTGTACTGGATTACTATGAACCTAGTAAGTGTCAGTCATTTCAAATGGTACTTAATTATTCAGAAGTTTAAAAGAAGGTTTCTTCTTGTAGGAATAGGAGAAATTTTAGTGAAGAAAAAGCTGCATTAACTGTGGTCTTTTTGGACATTTACATGCCCAGTTTGCTAACAAATAGTAGTGTTTTCACATATCTACTGTCTTAATGGGTTGATTTCTCAACTGTTGCAAATTGTTTGGCCCAGGATGTTCCCAAAACTATCAAAATGAAGCAGGAGCTTCACTGTGATTCACTTACCAAGTTAATAATTACCTCTCCAGTAGCTTTGCCATCTGTTTCTTACTTAAACTAAGAGTCCTTCTTGGGAGAAAATGCCAATGTTTTGACTTCTGTTGTTACCTAAAAAAAGGTGTACATTGAAAGAGGAGTTTTAAAGGGCTTTTTTGTTGAGAGTGGGCTTTGGGTTGGTTTGCGTGTTTGTTTTTATTTTTTTGGGTTTTTTTTGTTTGTTTTTTGTTTGTTGGTGTTTATGAGTGTATTATATGTATTATGCAGTATATGTTGTGTAGAGTCTGTTTTAGAGATGGGCAATGATTTACAAAGGCTTTTTTTGGCATTAAAAGTAAGAAAAAATTAGAGGCTACTGGAGAAGATACTAGGTTTTCACTACATGAACCACTTGGTACATTATTAAGGATTTGGGCTTGGTTTGAGATAAGGCATAAAGAGGTTGTATAGCAACTTTTTCATGCTTTTTTTAGCTCAATACAAAAGACAACCAGATATGATGTGTGCTACTTCATCTAGATGAAGATCACATTTATTCTATATAGGCTGAAATTATTGTTCATTCACAGAATTTTAAAGGAAAATAGGAAATTAACGGTTATAAGTACACTGTCCATTAATTAGAACTTGTTTAAGGGCTAGAGGCTTAGAAAATTACAGCAAATTTTTATTTGAGAGAAACACATAAGCCCTAGAATTAGAAGCTGAAATGAATTTCAAGTTCCTGGGAGAAGAGCTCAGGATCTAATCTTTCATGAGAATGCTATTAGATAGAATAATAAATATGTTTGTTGCAAAGTTACAGGTAAATGCACATGTAAATATTTTTATTATATTTAAATAAATTTAGTTCATAAATTCTCAGTTAGCAAACTAATATTAATTTATATTATGAAATCAGAGCTGTAATTTCTTTAATTTCAATATAATGATTTGTGGAAATACTATTTTACAGGACACCATTCCTTCAATATATAGCAAAGATATATTATTGATCAATAGATATATATATGCCATGATTGAGTTCTTCTGGGAGAATTCCTTCCAGTCTAATAGAGGAATGTGATTTTATTTTAAATTATTATTTTCCATCACTGTTGTAGTTGTTGACCCAAGCAGCAGGGATATATTTTATGTGATGATTACAGATTCATGTCATATTCAGAGCTAGGAAATGCTCTGGAATTTATTGATAAATGTGATTTTGTTGTGGCAGATTACACAATTGACATATGTGTAAGAGCTGGCTTGGATGCCAGTACAGCAGTATTCTCTTACCTGACATTTATAACTGCTGGATGTCACTGTTTGGTAAACATTTTGGCCCATAAAATTACCTGTTTTTTAAATACCCTGAGGCTTGTAATAAAAATGAATATAATTTTAGGTAAAAAATGCTACTACTGAAAAAAAAAAGAGGTTGCAAGGTCTCTAGTTGGAAGGAAAAAAAAAGAAAAAAACCCACTATGAGGAAGAAACTTTGCAAAAGCTTGTTCTGTGAGCAATTACCATGTATTGATGTTTCTGAAATGAAATGATTGAATGAATGATTTCTAGTCTGGCTCTGTAGCAATCCTTCAGGGAATGGGAGAGTAAAATACAAGAGCAGGACCTAGGTTAGGTAAGCAGTCCCACATTCAGGAAGCTGGAGCTCCCATACATGATAGTGAGAGAAAGCATCAGTTAGAAGAGACCTGGCTCTTAAATATGATAGCCAGCAGCTTGCCAGGTAAAGCATCTGAGTTTCTTTGTCATGCAGGTGGGGGCAAAATTCCTTTCAAAATGTTTGTCCAAAGGTTTGTGAACAGATTGTGTCTAACAGTTGAGATTGAGTCTATGAAAGTGTGCCTTTCACCAGGTGTTGACCTGAATATATTAAGATGTTCTGGGTGAAGAAAAATGAGTAATGGCTGGGCTTAAGTATCTGGGAAGTGTTTTGCAGTGTATGGTGAGCTCTGTGTCAGAGTTGAGTGGATCCTTTAAAAATGATTTCTTTTTGAAGCTGGGTTCTTGGTTAATTTTCAGAAGTTCATTAACTGATGTTAACTAACCTTTCTGAACAGGAAGAAGAGCAGTGAGAAGCTATAATTCAGAAGTAATGCAAAGTATAACCTCTTGTGACTTCTGTGAAAGTGATTGTCACCTTTGCCACCGAGATGGTTCTGCAGCCTTGCTTCAGCACTCTTCATTGGCCTCCTTGTTCTGTGCACTCTTTGTCCTTCATGTAAACTTGCTGTGCAGTTGGGTGCTGTAAAAGGAAACAGATTATGTTGCACATCTAAGGTTTCCATAAATTATCCAAAGAAAATTTTATGTTCAGATACCAGCCCGTCTTTAGTGATTACCATGACAAAACTCCTGCTGTGTTCAGGGAGAGCTGGGCTGGCCCATATGGTAAATTTCTGGCTGTGCCAGAAAACTTCTACAAGTGTCTGCTGGAAAAGCTTTCCAAATGTTAGTTTCATAATGAATTTATTTTCTGAAGAAGCACAGAGTTACTGAGAAAGCAGTGTGATAAAAAGTAAGCTTAGCTCCACATTCCCACTTTGTTTTTACCCCAGCTTCCAACTGTGCTTATTTTTTAGGGATGTTAGTTTACCATGCTTTTCCAAAGCACTATCTGCTTCTCCATTAGGGTGTTGATAAGCAATGGTAGGAGCTTGGTATCAGAGCTCACTTTGTTCTGTTCTGAAGATGTGACACTCAACATTAATACTGAATTTCTCTGTGTGCTCTCATGGGGAATAATATGAAAAAAAAAAAGGAGCTGGCTTCAGAGCAGATCCAAGAGCCAAAAAGTACTGCATTTACAAACTGCTGAATGCTCCAGAAAGCTGTCAGTCTTCTTTTTTTTTTTTTTTTTTTTGAATCATTACAGAGCAGGTAGGTGGATTTTTTGTCAATTCATAAGCTAATAATGCTTGAAAATAACGCCTCAGGATGTTCTAATGCATTTTACTCTGAAAAGTTTTTTACTGTAAACATGTCAAAGATAAAGTCTGTTTATCAGACTTCATTTTTACAGGGTTATTCAGAAATAAATGCAATTCTCTTTCCATGTGAGAATGCTGGTGTCAGCTGGCATATATTTATGGCCAGATGAAGGAAGTTTGCTTTGAACCTGTTCTGGTTTTTTTGGTGACTCCTAGAAGTGTCTCTGGGGCATCATTTATGTCTTGCGCTTTCAGCGTCACCTTGTCAGCAGTTCAGGTGGCATACCCCAAACAGCTGTTTACTGCTCTCAGTGCCATGTGAGTTGGTGGCCCTGGTGCCATCTGTGCCCCTGTTGCTGGTGGTGGGAGAGGCTTTTAGGAGTCATGGGCTGCATATGCACTCAGTCCAGACAAATAATTCACACGCTTGCTTTACTTTAGCCACATCCATGTATGCTCAAGTGTTCTGCTGAAGTGGAATGAAGGAGAGGGATGGTGAAAAGTAGCAGGCACCACTTCTACACCCAAACCTGCTCTTTGCACATGGGGAGAATTACAGATCTCTGTGAGTGTGGAAATGTGTGAGCTTGGGAGCTTGTTGCTCCTGAGTGAGTGTATGAATGCCTTCATTGTCTGGCAGCCAGTCTGTCCTTCTTGTACACTACCTGTAATATCTAATGCTTGTTTCTTTTTGATTAGGCAGCCAAGCTGTTACACTCATAGTTACTGAAATGAAGTTAATAGCTGTCATGCTGACTAAGAGAGGTGGAAATTTTAATTTTTATTGATTCCCTTTCTTTCATACCTTTTTTAGACGGAGTGTGTTTTTGTGCACATGTAATAATATGGCAGTCACTTTCCTTGAGCAATTTCTAATTTTTATTCCATTTTTTCTACTGCTTAAAATGTATATTTTTGTATTTATGCTCATCTATAATGTTGTTCACAAAGGAAATTTTGCATATTAGCATGGGAAGATGCGTGAACTTCCTTGACTGGGGGTGCCTTCTATTACCAATGTATAGGTTTTAACTGCAGAACTAGTTTAGATGGGGTTATTTGTTTTACTTCACCTGTTCTTGGAATTACAATGTTTTTCACAAATTTGGGGTTCTGTCCTATTTCTTAGGTAGAGCTTAGTCCTGGTTCTTCATGGTCTTTCATGCTTTTCACTTGTCCTTGGTGTGTTTTGGATTTAGCCTTTTGAGTAGTTAATTAGTGCCTGAGCAGAGTGTGTGTGCTGCTCTGACCCACATGAAGTAATGTATTTATTGAAGCCAAACACACTGCTTAGTCACTTGGATGCAGGATCTTACCCCCTTTGGACATGGGTCCAAAGCTAAGAGAAATGAAGATACAGAATTAAACACAACTCTACATCTCAAATCCTTTATTCATTTATGGGAGCCTTAATCTGACTGTGCCAAGTTTGTAAGATCTGGAAAAAATTCTCATCTAAACTGGGATGTGTTTTTTTGTGGGTTTGATTTGTGACCTATGAAAGTTGGTCTTGTCTTGTCTTTGAGAACAGCAGATTTGACATGTCATTTGTCTCCTTTTAATATAATTTCAAAAATCTAAAGCTCACATACTTCCAGGTTTTACTATATGCAGGGCTTCTAATAGGGACATTGGTACCTGATTAATGATAGGATAAAGGGGCTTATTTTCTAGACAAGATGTACTGGAGATAAATTGCTCTTTTTAAGTAGATAGTAGGAATAAATTAGTTCTGTTTTGCATGCAGTCCAATCTTCCTGAAAATCCTCCAAGAAAAACAGATTTAAACTGCTTAGTTGAGTTTTGGACAGTGCAGCTTTTACTAGTATTCCCTTACATTTGTTTTTGAGACAAACAACACATGTTTTTAAATGACTTTTGGCTGCCTTGCACACTATATTAAGAATCATCAGTCATGATATACCATGTCAGGGAAATTGTTGGAGTCAGTGAATAAACATCCTCTTTTATTTTGCTTTATCCTATACATAAGGCATTTTATTGCAGGCATCCAAATCTGCATCTGTATCAAGCTATTTTAAAGAAACCATGTACATTGTATGACTGTAAACAAATGTTTACACTAGGTGGCCTTTAACATTCCTGCATCAGTGCCTTCAGCCACTTTGCAGTAGTGGCTGGTGCTTTGAATGAGTTGCAGAGGATAAAATTTGTACTGTGGTGGCAGTGAATGGAATATTATTTGGCATAGTGACTTTTTTTTTTGTTTTCCTCATTGTTGTTTGGGAACCTTTACACAAATGTTCAGCATATATATTATTCCCATTGCTCTATGACACCCATTTTGGATGTTAGGGGGGCTGTGCTCCCACTGAAGTTAAAAGGAAATCTTGTAGTAAAAAGTCTTTTGGAGCTCTTTAGCAATAAGGTCTACAAGGAGTTTTAAGGAGTGATGCTAAAAACAGTCATGAAAAGGTATTTTGTGATGGCATCTTCATGTTGTATTGTCTGAGCATTTCTGCTGTTCATTGAAATCTGAGTGTATGCTGGTATTTCCCATGCCCTTTTCAGCCACAGGGTATCAGTAAGAGATATTTATTTAGGATTGAGTCTATGATGTATTTAAAAGGTGTTCCCCCTGAATTCTGCCTCTGCTGTCGTCCATGATCTTAGCTGAGGGTTTCTCTACAGGTTTTGATATGGGCGTCATGTAGAGATCTTCTATACTAAACGCTGTAGTACAGAACAGGGAATGAGTGCTGCTTAACAGGTTTAGAGCACCTCAGAATCTGCAGCTGGGCCAGTTTGGTTCCCAGCATGGCACCACCATAGAATTGTTTATGTTGGAAAAGACCTTTAAAATCATGGGGTCCAACCATTAAGCCAGCTTTGCCAAGTCTGCCAGTAAAACATGTTTCCAAGTGCTACATCTACACTCTTTCTAAATACGCCCAGGGACAGTGACACCACTTCTTCCATTGGCAGCCTGTTCTGATGCTTAACAGTGAAGAAATTTTTCCCAATATCCAATCTACACCTCCCCTGGCACAACTTGTATCAAACAGAAGCACTGCAGGTATTCCCAGTTAGCTTCCATACCACATGCTCCTGTTCACTTCACAAGCAGGAGTTTGTGGCTTGTGCACATCAGTGGCACAGGATGAAAGGGGGAGGTGGCCAGAGAGCTGCAGGAGAAGCAGGAGATGCAGATCCATAGAATCATAGAATATTAAGGAGTTGGACTGGACTGTAAGATCATCTTGTTCTAGCTCCTCTGCTGTGGATAGGGACACCTCCCACTAGAGCAGGTTTCTCAAGGCCTTACCCAGCCTGGCTTTGAGCACTGCCAAGGTTGGGGCATCCACAACCCCCCTGGGCAACCTGTTCCAGTGTCTCACTACCCTCACAGTAAAAATCTCCCTAATATCTAGCCTAAGTTTCCCTTCTTTCAGTTGGAGCTCATTACTCCTTGTCCTGTTAGTACAGCTCCTTGCAGAGTCCCTCTCTGGCTTCCCTGCAGGCCCCCTCCAGACACTGGAAGGTTGCTGTGAGGTCTCCACACAACCTCTTCTCCAGTCCCAACTTTCCCAGCCTGTCTTCACAGGGAATCTACCCTGCAGAAGTGCTCCAGTCCTCTTATCAGCTTCATGGCCTTCCTCTGAACTTCCTCCAACACTTCCAGGTCCTTCTTATATTACAGGCCTCTCTTTTGCCTTGAAAGTCACTGTTGACAGTCAAACCTAAAGTACAAAAATTGGTTTTATTCAGTTATCAAAATATTATCCTAGCAATATTTCTCTGAATGTGTTGTTCAAGTTGGTATGAATATTGACAGCGTTTGATTTTAGCTGAATCCTGCAGAAAGCAGATGCATATACATAGATAGCTGTTACAGGCTGTGGTCTGCAGTGTGCAATGTATGTGCATAAAGATCTGCACAGTGCCCAAACCAACAATGCTGTGTAATGTTCTATTTTTAGGAAAGAATATATTAGAAAGCAACTAGTGCCTAATGGCATAATTTTTCTGTCTGGAACACTAAGAAAGAGGATTCAATTTTAATTCTAATGACTAACATTATTTTTGTTATAACATTTCTTCTTCTACCATAAGTTCTTACGCAGTGAACCATGTCTATATGATCTGAAGATTTTGAAATTAGGTGCTTAATTTATCTATAAAATATAACAGCAGTTGTTTCCTTTTCCCCATATCGAAATATTTCACTTTCATATTGTTTCTTGTTTATTTTAATGTATTTCTGTGTGCCAAATGGAAATGCCATTGCTCTATTGCTATTCTATGCAATGAAATAAAGGCTGATAGTGTGCTGTATTAGATTAATCTAATGATTATTTTTCCTATAGATAGCTTGTTTTCAGATAGGTATGAGCATTAATGCCTTATGTACTGCATTTGAGTCACCAG